CGTTCCCTCTCTCTTCAGTCCTGCTGACATTCTCCTCCAGCCCGTTGGCTCAAACGACGAATGCCACTCGCCTGTCCATCGGTTTCGTCCCTTCGTTCTTCTGCTCGTACGTATTGCGGCCAGTCAGCTCGGTATCGCATTATGCTACGGTCACAACGGTGCCCGTCAGTGCTTCCCACTCGTGTTTACCGCCGGTTCAGCCCCGTCGACGTGCCGCTACCTGGAATCGGTGCAACGTGACCCGCGCCGCTGGCATGCGTCCGCCAGGAAAATGGGAAAAACCGCCAGCAAGCTGAAATCAAAGAGGAGCCAGAGTCAGTGGGACTTTTACTTTCTATTTCTTCTCTCCCTTCCTCTTTCACTCTCTTCTTTTGTCATTTATCGCGGCACGCGTTTCTCTGCCCCGATGGCAAGCTGTGTCGAGCAGGGAAAAATTTCTTTACAACGAATTTTATATTTTTTTTTATATTTAATGTTCAAAAGCTGGACCCGTAGTTTGCCTCGTGGGTATGAATCTTCATTCAGCGATCATGGAAGAGATAGCTACTATGTTTGCGAGTGTTACTTTTTTTCACTCATTTTTTGATTACGACAGCGAGCATATATAACAGGTTAGCGTAACAGTCGTCGATTCTGCGCGACGCGGAGTAATCGGCGTTGAGAATGACGAGTCGCTGAGATCCAAGGAGCACGTGCCTGAATCATACATCTCGAAGCTTCAACGAAAGATTTCGCGAACGAATGAGAAAATTACTTTGATTCGCACGTTTCGTTCAAAACATAAGAACTCTAATAACACGTCCATAGAGAAACTTGTCAGTGGAAAGTACTAAAGACCACTGTACTCCGATCTCAACACGCTATAATTATTACTTGGCTTTTTGTCCAAATCCACCGTCATTAACGATTTAATTCAATCAAATTGCGATACGTGTACTTGGAACGTTTCCAAACGAATGGTTCATTAGTTGAAATTAAAGAAGACTCCAAGCGATGATTCCGAATTAATTTGTTGAACGGTACATGACAAATGAATCGTTGCGAATGCGGTATGCTACGTCTGTCAAACAGTCGAAACGAGATAATGGCAATTCACCTCGCGAAGCAACGTTTATCGTCGAGCTACGCCTACGGTACCGATTGACTCGTGGATCGGCGTGCAAGACACGTGTTGAATCGCGTCAGTGTTTTATTTCAAAATCGAAACTGGTACGAAGTATGCTAAACGTGTAGGATGTAGGTCGCGCCGGTGGTACCTTTTTACGCGACCTCGCGGCTGATAAAGAGTCGTTGTACAAAGAGGAAAGAGTAACTGTGTCGTTTCGAAAACATTTACTCTCGCGCAAAAAGTTTATAGGCTGATTCTAGAAATATTTATTATTTCTTCCTCGACGTCGCTACTTCATGGACACTTACCATCAAGGACTCGAAGAATTGTTGAACATTTTTTAGCTTCGAGCTTGTAGAAATTTTTGTGCATATCATGCTCTAATCAGTTTTTTCATCTACCTAAGTGATTCCATCCGCGAGAACCACTCTGTGTATCGAGATGTAGCATGCGATCATAGTCTGTTTTTGAAACGATTATGCGATTGGAATATACGTTCGGAGTCCAATCCATTCGCGAATAAATCTGCATAAATATTTCACCAAATAAACGCGAGAAGTGTTACTCGTATGGCAAGTTGTCATCAAATTATCCGGGTAGAGTAGAGTCTGTCGAAAGAATTTTATATTTCCTGTCATTTTTCCTGGTTCTTCAAGCTACGCAATATATAAATGTCACGAATAACATACTACTTCGATTTCTTTAAGTTCGTTCCAGAATATTAGATTATTCGTGTATCTTCTCTTTTATACGATTTCCCCGCGGCAGTATAAAAAATCACGGGCGATTCGTTCGGCTCTGTCAGCTGTGCGCAAACTGGATCCAATTGAAATTCCTGTCGCAAGGTAAACGCGCATATAATTACGCGGAGGAAACAGAGGGGGGGGAATGTCGGCACACGTTTCACGCACGTGAATAAAACTTTTCGAGAAACCACCGGCGCCGCCAACAACAAAGAAAAATTCAATTCGTCCAGAAGCAATAAAAGTTCATGCATCGAACGGTGATGCACTTATCTTACGTTGATCACTTTCTTATCGCCGCCATCGCGTCGAAATCACTGCAAATATTGAACGCGGATTGTTTTCAACCTTTTAAGGACGGATACTTTAAACGAGGCTTATCGCGTGGGATGCGGAAAAAGAAGAAAACTGTATCACCGATACTCTGTAATCCATTCTGTAGAAAAACTCAACGATCCAGTATAATTTGCTCACACTTTCGGTTCCGAAGTTACTCGTCACATTCTCTGTTGGAATTGCCAGTAAAGAATGTCTAACAAGGTTTTGCTAGACATTTTTTTATAAAAAAAAAGGAGATTAAACGAAGAGAACCTGTTCAAATTTAAATCGGAATTCATTCGAAATAATAGACGCGATGATTTCAATCGTGACTGCTGGTAGCAGGTCTTGTTTAGCGCGAGCTACCGATCAGAACCAACGAAAGAGAAAAAAAAAAAGAAGATAGATGTAATAGATTAGGCGGAACAGGCAATCTCTGGAAAATATTCCCAGCACGCTGTCGGTTCGTGCGTTTCTTCGCTCGGCCTCGGAAATGGCGCCTATCGCGCCTCTTTCGGTCGATAGTGCCTCTTCAAACGTTGCATAGTTATCTCTGTAAACGACGACCTTATCAGCGTCGCCAGGTATTATGTCGGCGAGAGAGCAAGAGGGTCTCGCGATGCAAAACACACCTGCATTCCGCTCTTTCAAACGCGCGACCATCGCACACGAAGTCGTCGCCTCGTCTTCAATCGCTTCTTTTCACTCTCTCGAGTGCTTCCTGACTGTCCTGTCGTTTCGAGAGGCCTTCTTTCTTTCCCTAACGGAGGGGAGGGAGGGGTGGGGGGTGGGAAACGTCCTTTTCTCTCTTTGTTCTTTTCTTCTCAGGTACACCGTACAATTTTCGACGAAGCTAGCCGACCGACCCGAAACGTCGACGCAGGCGAGAAAAACTGGAGAGAGAACTATGCCGTGTATACCGTGTGATCTCTCAATGAGTGGAACGACTCAAAGAGAGGCGATTCTACGTGTAAAACTGAGTAGAAAACGTGCAGTACATTTTTTCGTCAGAGGCTCCATTTTTAGGAAAACGGAGCTCGAGTTTGCATTGTTTGGAAGAGTTGGAACTCGTTTGGCTCAAAAACGGAGCCGCGTAGAAAAAAAATTCTATTCCACGTTTTTTATGTACCTTTGCACGTAGAATCGTCTGTCTTTGACGCTCCATGCGCGACACCTTGTGCAACGCGCGAATTTAACGGGGAAATTGAAATTCGCGGCTGCAGTTCACGAAAACGAATTATATAATAAATAGGAGTGGACCGGTTGATCGTGTCGCGTAACTCAGGTTTTAAATCGCGTCTATCTCGTATATACGCTCCAAGCTTCGTCGCTATCGCTCCAGCTGTGACGCGGTAACGAGCAGAAAAGCCTGGATTTTATTTACAGAAGGTGTGTAACAAGTGACAAGTTGGACTAACGGTGAGCAATGGTTTAAGGTGTGTTTCCACGAATCGTTAGGAGACAATAGTCAAGAATTAATTATTAACTCGGGGACGAAGCCCCGAACGCAATCTCGCCATTTGACTTTCGCATCGTTTCGATCCGTGGAGTCAATTTCCCAAAAGGATGCCCACTACTAGCGAAAACACCCTAAACACACGAGACCGTGTAAACGAATTAACATTTTTGTACCCTGGCTCGAGCGAAAGGGTTAAGGGGCAACGCTCGTTCGAATCCCGGCGACGGGAAAGGCTGTCGAGAACAGGTTTATATCTGTGCGCGAGAAGGCGAGCGAAGATAAACGGATCGAAGCGAAAGTGAGCCGAGGACTTCAGTTTCTGGCCAACTGTTCGAAGGATCCGCGCGTGCGTCGCCGCAAAAGTCACGACTGACAGATGGGAAAAGTAGGAAACCCTTCGAAAACGAAACGGCCACCGAAATCGCACGCGAGTGGACCAGAAGAGTCGATTTGGGAGCCGTTCGACGCGAATCGAACGGTGCGGGAATGATCGCGGGACTCGTTCGTAACGCGCGTGGTCGGTTTGCTGCACCTGCGATCGCGTTTGGCGTGAGCGTGCTTGGTGGTTCGGCGTGGAATTTCAATGGGTGATAAATTACGTCGTCGAGTAACGGTTGTTCCCCGAATGTGAACTACGAACTTTTATTAATCGTAATTCATAAGCAGCCGAGCATACGGCGGAACAGAAAATGGGTTGCTGCGCGCGACGTAGAAGTTAGATTCCAAGAATTCGCGGTGGATATTTGACGAGGAATAGCGGAACCGATAGCGAACATACGGCTGCAAAAATAGGAGATAAGAGATGGGAGCTCGAGGAATATCGAGAAAGTTAGAGGAGGATTAAAGTGATTATCGTGATTGGAGAAATTGGTAAGGTATCAGATCAAATTAATCTGGAGAGAATTGGTATATTCTAAAGAAGTCGCAAAAATAAGTAATTACAGATGTTAGATCATGTAATTTATAATTGTATAGAAACAAAATTTTAGCCTCGTAAAGAATTTTTACGTTTATTAGTCTGGCAGTCAACGTGTCAAAGGAAGACTTTTTGCGTGATCAAAGAAAGTAACTTACTATAAAACGAGTCGATCCCTGCTTCTATAATAAAAATAAAAGTCCTCCGTTTTTCGAAGACGAAGGATATAATCCTCCCGAAGACCTATCGCGAATGAGATCCTGTTTAACCTGGGTGGTCTTCAGTCGCGTTTCGCTGAAAAAGCGAAAGACGTCGAGGGGGACACCATTTCAGATAAAAGCTATCAACCGTGACTATCGTTTCGCCTGCCGATAAACGTTTCGCGCGATGATAGCTAACCATTTGGTATCCCGTCGCGATAGTAGATCATCGCGGGTTAAACGCCGCCGATCTTGCGCTCGGACGACGCAGCGACTCGATTCGCGCAATCGTGCAAGCCTCGTTCGCGTATGAATAAATATCGATAAAGGTAATTAACGACTGTGACGCAACAAGTTGGCGAGAGTTGACCCGCGAGTGAGCGGTGTCCGATTGCGATGATCGTGATCGACAAGGATCGAGAGCAGAAAAGCACCGGCAGACGTGAGTATCGCGGATCGATGAATAGATTTAGGCTATTTCGTTGTTGGAACAATTCGATATGTACAGATACGTGGATGTGTATACGAATAAAAATATACTTACGTTCCTCACTTTACTTTGTCCGATTATTTTTCCACACATTTGTTGAAACAGTGTGAAAAGCTTGCCACCTTCTTCCATGTTACTAATGATCAACAATTCTTGTACAGGCAGAATATGTTGCGCATCAAAAATCTAGCTGTAAACGATCATAACTTGTGTTTAACGCTGTACCAACATCTTGAGAATAATTGGTTTGTTAATATTCTCCAGGCATGACATGGAACTTCCGGTTTCCATCAATGGGCACTCTGCAAAACCTAGGCGCCAGTGGCCGTCGTCGAAAAAGGAACGGCATACACTCTTCAGCCTCTTGTAAGGATCTCTACCAGAAACGACATACGATCCACCTACAACCGGAAGTAATTATTCAGAAGGAGCCGTCTATCATCGGGACGCCACTGTCGCCCGAAGATCTGACCGAAGAAAGTCGAAGGTAACCGCAAGCGTGTCCAGCAACCACAAACTAACCGTTTAATACCTCGCAAATTAGTATTGAAACCCGATGTTAAATCAGTGTTAAAGATCAGATTGTTCTGGAATAGGATTCGGAATATAAGAAATTTTCCATAATCGAATCTAAAGTGACTGGGCTATCTGTTATATAAACCTATGAATTAGCCCGTTAGAAGGTATCTCGTGATACCGGTCCGAGAACATAATGGGCCAGCAGGTCCCGAACCGGTTTTCCTCGATCTTTGCCTTCAAAATGACGCTCTTCTTCGGAGCGACCGCGGGAATCCCATAGCGGAATGAAGTAAAACGGGGGAAACTATAAAACGTTCCCTGACGTTTGTAGTTGTTTTGTAATCCCTTTGAGAATCCGGTCGGACTCTTTGAACCTTGTTTCAGTGTTGTCGAACATTCATGCCGAGATTTATATGAGCATCGAGCTCAACGATAAGCTTGAAGCAGTCGAGTCGTGTGCATCTAAAGGAATCGATTGTTGAAAAGCTGTTAATCGTAAATTAATGTTGAATTTGATACAGCTGCAAAGGCAGTTGCAACGACGGCAAATATTTCCGTTCCGGCATCTGCAATTGGATGTAATCTTATCGCCTCGTTACTCAAAGGACAGCCCTGCCTTAACGCGATATGATAATCTTCGAACGTGTGCACCTTTTGACTAATCTATCCATAGAATTTATTGGTTGTACGCGGCAGTCCTGGATCGTCTTAAATCGAACATAATTAATCCTCGAACAAATCACGACTCGGGTTATGAAAACCATTTCATAAAAATAATGCTTCTAGTACTTGGACATCCCTAATACCCCTGTAATTACAATATTTCACGGATTCCCTGTTTCACCGACTTCGAAGAGGGAGAAGTTTATCTGTATCTGTGTCCCTCGCTACTGTAGGGTTACATTGTACCAGCAGTGCCAACGCATGCTGCTGCAATCGTTGCAAGATAGTGCAACTGCACGCGAGATCCTGTCGTTATGATATTACAGCTCGCGCGAAGATAAGGCACGCGGTGAACTTCTGCGAATAGCGTGCTATCGGCTTGCATCTGGGCCCTTTCGAGATGCTATTTATAACGTCAACGACGCCCTGAAAATTGTTCTTTCCCTCTTCTCCCCGGGTTCAACTGTTCGGTGAATTGCAATTTGCAACGACGACTGTCGAAGTCTAAATATAGAAGAACAAACGCCTACAGTCTTTGATCGGTAAACGCTTTGCGTGCCCGGTGTCCCTAAGAACCTTTTATTTATTTATCTCTTAATATTCGGAACAATGGAAGAAAGTAATTGACAAGGTAAATCTCGGTATATATATGGACATTTTCTCTAGCACTGAAAGGGTTAAAATTTTTAAATTAATATTAAAGAAACTTATTAACGCGCCATTGCAGTATCCATAGCAATCAATGCCAACACCTGCGTCCTTGCAACTGTCACTCGATTATCCGTTCGCCTTTGTCAAAGAATAGCGAGTAAAGTAAACGCACAGATGCATTTTAGACGCACATGCATTTTATGAGTTCTTAGGCCCTTATCGAGCGTTTTTGTTCGACGCAGGCGCGCCCATGCCCCTCGTCCAACCCCCTCTGGTTCCTTCTCAAACAGATCAATAACCCCCGGTGGTATTGACTGAACCTAACGCCGTCTGATAAGAATCCCAGACCCGAACTGGCCGTTGCCCGCTCGAAAATCGAAATAATATCTTCGACCATTCCGCGTCGACGCGTTCTCCGATCGAATACCACCCGATGTCGATTCGACTTCGAACGCCACTCAAGAACGGAGAAAACGCAGGCGTGGGTGAGAACGCGATGAGACGCAACGGGTGGCGTCTCAGTGACGTACGAAGTGCATCGACAGGACACTCTTCTGTTCTTGTTAAGGTTAAATTCATAATCGCTAAAGAACTAGAGTATCGTCAGTGGATTGGTAGGGGTTTCCCGATACAAGCGAGCTCAAACACCACCTCGTTACAATTAATTTTAATATCTGATTCGGGTCACTTATGAATTTAGCCATCCATCGAGAACACTTTACAAAAATATAACGACACTAGAACCCATTCGTACGATACGAATGCTACCAAACCTCGAAAGAAGTTCACCGCCTCAAACATCTTTCAAGCCAACCAACCCTTCTTCCGAGTTGTTAGCAGTCCAAAAGGTGGTCGATAAATTTCCTGGGTGAATCACCCCGACAAAGAAGACATTCGACCTTCTCTAAAATAAAGAGGAAGGGACAATGGTGATATCAAACGGTCCCAAATTAGAAAAGCTTTCAGCCACGGAGGAAGGAAAATATTTTTCTTGGCCGTCGCGACGACGCGACGCGGCGCGAGGCGAAACGGTTTGCCCACCGTTTCTATTAATACCCCCGCGGGGCGCCCCTCGAGATCCACTGAAAAACACGGTCCTGTACGTGTCGTAGGTTTCCACGCACATAGTTCAGTGGGGTGCGCGCGCTCGGCCCGGGGAGCCGTATGGCCAAACCCTATCCGTCCCTACGACTCCTCGCGAGTTCAAGGAAATACTCGACGACGGGGAAAAGTATTAGTTCTCTTCTTATTGGGGGGTTGGTTCGAAGCGGAAGGGCGCATCGAGGCGAGATGTGAGCGATTCACGGTGAAAATTCGCATTTTCGACGCAGGTCGTCGGAGGTAAAGACTGAAGTGGCGGAGGAGGAGGCGGCGGTGGACATAAGGGAGCACCGCGACGCGTGTTCCAGGGAATCTGTTGCGAAAAGGGTTGACAGCAACGACTACTCGAATTTACCGATGGTGAGTACAATTTCGAAGTATTCCTTTAAAGAATATCCACCGTTGCAAGTTTGTTACGGGGCGTGGAATTCGAATATGACAACGGAGATAGGGATTGGCGATACACGACGCAGGGAGAGCTTTGTGGCGACACCATTTGCGAAAAGAATCTATAATTTTCGGCGATTCGTGTAAACTTTGTTAAAGGTTAGGCCTCAAACAGCGCTCAGAAGTAATTTTTACAATTCTGGTCTTCTGGAATACTGGAAAGTAAACTATACTTTTTCTTAGACATTAAATGTAACACTGGTAGAAATTCTAGTTGTATAAACCATTCAACTGTAAAAAAAATGTCTTTCGAAGCAGCCTATCTGGCTTGTCCTTAATTACGATATCAGAGTAATAAACCTCGATTATCATCGAAGTACTATATCAAGAAGTAATTAATGGGCCGATTGCTAGAATTTCGCGTCAATCGAATAATTCTCAGCGATCGTAATTAGGTCGTTTATACGCTACCGTCTCGATGATCCAGCCTGAACGCGTGACACGATACGTCAGTGTGACAACTCGTACACACACAGACGCTACCGTAACGATGATCTCTTTACGACACAAGCACTCAAGGCTGTTCTCGTTAAGCCAATTTCGTCGTCTCGCAGAGACGAAACACTTCTTCATTGACTGGAACGACTTACTTATGCAGACGCGCGAAACAATCGCGTAATAAATATTTCTTTATATCGCATGTTCGATATTAATCGAGGTCGACGCCCGTTACTGTTCGTCGCGTTTTGCAACTTTACTCGCTAGAACATCTTGCGAATTCTCTAACGCAAGATTGCTGTTCTGGGATGTCTAATTTAGGAGCCACCGGAGGAGTCGACGCGTAAACTCTTGGAGCGAGAACTCCGACTTTTGGATCCTAGGGATCTGAGATCTCACGCTTGGTACCATGGTAGCACGCTTCGTGGTGGTAGAAAAGGCGCCGAAGCGGAAGTGCCCAACGATGGTGACTTTCTGGTTCGCGATTGTGCCTCCCAACCTGGAAACTACGTCCTCACGGTTCGGTGGAAGGGTCAGCCCCTTCACTTCGTCATCAACAGGGTAAGTTCAAGGAGAAACTCCACGATCCTCTTCGAACTTATTCATAGTAAACAAAATTAAATCTGAATTTTCAAAGAAAGTAAATTTCAATGAAATTCATAAACCTCGATAAAGTTATAAAAACAAATATCACAATAAATGTATGATTATGGAGTTTCCAATAGCTTGGAAACGAAACTTAATCACAGTAGAAATTTTCAAGAGCACTAGACTGGCAGTCAACGTGCTAATAAGAACGTAGATATCAGGTTTAATCTCTCAGGTGTACATCCCTCCTTAAAAAGCCCCCGCTGTTAACAGGTCGTCATCCAACCAGAGACGGTGTACGAGAGGGCGCAGTACCAGTTCGAGGACGAGGCGTTCGATACTGTCGCCGACTTGATAACCTTCTACGTCGGCAGCGGTAGGCCAATAAGTCAAGCGAGCGGTGCCCGCATAATCACCCCGAAGCCTCGATGCGTTCCTTTGACCTGTGTCCCAGGACCCACGAACAGTCAGCACTGTTCCAGCCCCTCCTCTTCGTCCTTGTCAACTGGCTCTCCGCCCCGTCTGCCTCGCAAGCAGCAGCGCAGCCATTCCCTGACCGCTCAGCATCATCCCTCGGATCAGTACGACGGTCGTCAACCCTCGAATCAACAGCCACTACCTCACGTACCAGTTCAGTCCAGTACACTGCCACGTGTACCGCCCATACAAAATCAGCCACCATCGTGTTCCCTGTCTCTGGGTCGTCAGAAGATCACTAGGGTGATCTCCGACCCAGCTCTTCAACAGCAACAGCAACCGATCCATCAGCCGTCTAGCTTGAACCATCAGAACTCTCTGAGCGCGGCACCTCCAAAGCCTCCTAGGGTGCCCTACGTTCCGAATCATCAGCATCACACTATCCATCATCATCACCATCACCATCACCATCACCAGGGCTACCAGGCGTCGGGTAGCGACAGTGGCAACGGCTCGGGAGACAGCGAGTTCGAGACAAACAACTCTGGCGGCACTAGTAACCCTTCCTCTTCCGTTCCCATCAAAGGAGTCGTCATCAGGAGCCACTACACCACCAGCAACGACGGTACCAATGGGAACAACGGCAACGAGTACGAACTGTCCGCCGAAGAACAGCTGGTGGTGGCCGCGCCATCCATGGAGATCGCCACATCGTTGGATATCGAGGGGTTCACCACCCTCCTGTTACCAACTGGCGATCACAGACCTCTGGATCCTACCGCGTTGAGAGGAGTGTCTGGAATGCTTCTCGACTCGGCTCCGAGAGTCTTAGCCTCGCATTTAACGAAGATAGACTTGGAGTTGGCTCTTCAGCCTGGACCAGGGAATAGAAACGGATTGAGTGGTATCGAGCTGGCTACCCTGCCTCACGGCAGACAGGCCAGGATGGACCTGATCGAGCGTTCGGAGTGCTTGAAGCTGTTGGTAGCGGTGACAGTGCTGGCTGGAGCCACCGCGATCGAAAGGGCTGGCACCATCAGCAAATGGATCAAAGTGGCCATCGACACTAAGACGGCACTGGGAAATCTGTACGGATTCTGCGGCGTGATGCTAGGTTTGTGCTTGCCTCAGATTCAGAGGCTGGCGAACACGTGGCATTTGCTGAGACAAAAGCACACAGACGAGGCGTTCAGCTTCGAGGCGAAGCTGAGGCCCACTCTGCGTGCCATGAACGAGTGCACCAACCCTCAGGCGCCCAACACCACTCTGCCGCATTTACTGCCCATCGCGTTGCTGGGGGAACGCGGCCCCGAGGATGTGCTAGGTGTGTTGCCGTGAATTCGTTGACGGTTCATTCCGTCTTCTGTTTTTTGGTTTTTGTTTACGTTGAGTAGTACAGCGTAGGCTTATATTCCTTTCCACTTCTAATCGCTTTCGTTCTTCCAGGCACGGTGGCTCCATCAGGCCTCGCAGCAGCGATCCTGTCGCCCTGGGAAAATTCCGCTCCAGACTGCGGCCTGTCGATAGTCTGGTCGCATTTGGAAACGGCGCGTAGGATGGCTGAAAATCTGCCGTTGTTTCGCAGAAACGCGGAGATCGTTTTGGAGGGTTCGAGAAGCGACGAGTTACTGTCAGACGCGTTTCGTACCGAGTTCCACATAAAATTCTTGTGGGGAAGTCGTGGTGCCACCGTGGCACCGGAAGAGAGACATCTTAAGTTCACGCAGGTCCTCGACGCGATGTACGACAAGTGCTCGTCGAGCGAGGTGATGGCCTAAACGTTACGCGACCAAAGGACAGATTATTTCAGGCGCGGATTGTTCCTTCATTTTTAGAACGAGTTGTTTGAAGAGCCTGGACGAGAAAAGAAGGGACCCGAACGAATTTACTTTTCACTTACATTTTACGTGCACGTGTAAATTATGGTTATGTAATTATGTAATTAAATCGTTGTAATTAATTGTAATTTCTACGATAAGTACGGATAAGTATAGTTTATTTGAGCGAAGTTTGATCGCGGTGAATGTTATTTAAACGACCATGTGTTTTCCGATTTGATACGCCGCGTTACGCGATCGGGGCCATTTTGCACAATTTTCACGAGAAGCGGACTGCGTTCGCATTTATAGCAATTTTTTCGTATCGTAACCCGTAGAAGAGCTCGTCGAACGTGATTCTTCGCGACGAACGACACCATTTTTTCTCGAATAGAGAGTAGTGGCAACGAAACGAGTGCCGCGTCGAGAAACAAACAATCAAAAGAATAGCATTAACGGCGACTGGACGTATAATCGTAAATGTAACGATGAAACGTGTCATATTTAGCGGAGTAACGATTCCTGGCTGTATCGGGATATGTTACTCTATTAACGACCCGTATTTATTGTCTCGCAACGACTGGCGACGATATAATAATCAAATCATGTTGAACTGTCATGTACTTAATTCTAACTGATCCTATATTCGGCCAATAATATGTTGTAAATGTTGTTCACGTTTGTTCACACTTAATAATATACGAGAACGAAAATCAATGTTTCGTGTCTTTACGTGATTACCCCTTCGTCTAGTGAATATACGCGGTCGCAAATTTTTCGTAATTGCTGGACGCGAACATTCAATAGAATCACTATGACAACGCAAAATTTAAATATTGATACATTCGGGACAGTTGACGTGAATTCGCGTCGGCTTAAATTCTATTTCTGGTTATGAAAAAATTATCAAAATCTTTTTATTTTATACGCTACATATTTACAACATTGATATTTCAAAACATATTTTGTAATTTTTATCTCTGTCCTTATTTTCATCAAAATTCGATATCAGAAACGTAAAATATCTGCCGGTCGCGAATTTGTTAATAACTGTTTGTTGTACCTTTTTAAGAATTTTAGCAAAAAATCGAAGAGATTTCTCTGGCGTCAATAAGTGATGTCACGACCACAACGAGTATCGAGCACTGGATCCAGTTAGGCTGAGCCACCGCGATCGAAACTCTACATCTCTCGCAAAATTAACTTTCCGTGTTGTCTGGTAAGGTCAGCTCGACTTGCTCTCACATAAGAAACTGCGAGACGGTGTACGTGTCGCATTTCCTAGGTACAACGTAAACACAGAGTTGAAGCGACAGCGGGGGAAAAAAATTAAAGACACCTCGACAGAGTACTTAGACGTTATTGTGGTAATATATTCTACGGTGGACTTGACAACACAATCGATGTTAATGGACCTTTACGGACTGTACCAGCAGGTGTTTCACTTTTCCTCGTATTAAATTTATACTGCTCTTTATCTTTGGTCGTTGACTACCATTAGCTATAGATGCGCGTGGAGTGATCACTTGACAAGTACGCATCATGTCGTTCCTTTTTTATTAATTAAGCACTATAAGGGATAAGAAAACGAGACCTCTTTGCGTTGACTATAGGCACCTAGTAATTTGCTAAAACCAACTTCCGCGATGAGGATTGTGACAGACAATTCTTTTTTTTTTTTTTTTTTTTTAAATTTACAAAAGAGATATCTCCGTACGATGAGTAAAAGACTAGTTTTATGGCGGTCTCGAGACGGGATACTACTAGTAGAAGTTCCACTTACGAGCTGAGAACTTTAGACAATCCGTTCACTGTCAGTATCATCGTGGATCATCTGTTTTTTTTTCTTCTCACGGTGTCGCAACGAATCGATTGAAAAATATATTAAGGGGATTGATATCTAGAGAATGACCGGTAAGATTTGTCATGTCAAACGAATCTTGGAAAACACGATATTTTTACCGATGTTTGAAGAAATGAGAAGTAGTGTAAAGTACTTCATCGATACGACAGTGCTTTCAACTTAGCTACTTTAACGAATGTTCAGTGCTCCAGGTAAGCCATAGGAATGGAAGTGGCGCTTTCAACATTCCTTACTACAGAGTGCTTAAAAAATATCTGATAATTATGGGACAATATCCGAACCAATCAGATTTGGTGAATAAATGTTGCGTAACCATGATGGTGGGGAGTAGTGTTACGCTTCTTATTCCCGTGGTAAGTGGAACATGCTCGTTGGTAGTGGGATAATATTTATACATTTATAATTACATTTCAAAAATATTAATACACAATCGGAACATGCGATTCGATAGTTGCTCCAAATGTATACATCGCTGCTTGTGAACGATTTCGACGGCGTCCTCGAGTGTCAACCACCATTATTTACAACCGCTATAAATGCTTTGAAGTTAGTAAATCTTCAAATAAACAGGAAACGTGTGCGTATCTTCCCTATCGTGAGACGAACTTATCCAACGCATAGAATCATACGAATTCGGAACATTGCAGATGAGAAAAATGTTTATCTCTGTGGAAGAAGAATGGAATGTGTTGGAGTTTGATAGTTCTCTGTATGTTCTGGATGACATTACCAAAACTGGAAGTAAAATTGCGCACCTCTACAGAAGTAGGCATCCTGTTGCGGTACTCGCCTGGTTGTTATTTAAAAGATAGTTATATATGGTAGAATTTTCAGGTAGCATATTATCATTGTTGGTAGCGTTCGTATTTCTTCCGTTGGCCAATCCAATGTTGGATATTGTTATGCCACTGAACGTAACACGACCTCGACCGCAAGTATTTAAACTTTATTACTTCGTGAACAACGACGAGCATTTTCTCCCAATATATTTTCACGCGAGTATATGTTCCATTTGTGTTATACTAATGATGATCACTGTCGATTCTGTGTACATGGTGTTAGCTCATCACAACTGTGGATTGTTTGCCGTATGCGGGTAAATATAACAGTAAAACATAAGACGGTGCCATGTATAACATATCAACAATTCCTTGACGTCCACTACACGAATCATTTACACTACATTACCTTGACACGAAACAAGGATCGATCTTATTTTCTATCGACGCGTAATCCCACATTATCTTTACTCAAATAATTTTAATAAATGCAGAGATAAGATTAAGAAATTGACGCAAAATAACCGAACTAGAATCGGAGTTGCTACGAGGGACGATGGATACGAGGAAGTCAGAGAATGTGTGGTGGTACACAAGAAAGCCATCGAGTTTGTAGCGATTTATACTAAGTTAGGAAAAAGAAGTACGAACTATTTACTTTATTCGACTCACTGGTTATTTTATCGTGTTTCGAGGTTTTTCAAGATCCTGGAGCAAATGACTAGAAGTAATTACGTAGGTCTGATCGGAGCTGCAATGATCTGTACATGCGTAACAGCTTTCCAAGTAAGAAACTCTCTCTGAAAAAGTGTTCGTTTAGAGAACCGTTAAACGGATTTACATTTCGTTCGTTAGGTAGTTGTGCACTTGAACGAACCCTTCGAAGCTCTCAGACATTGTGTTTTCTGTATTGGCAACAACTTTCATCTATTCTACGTCAGTATACCCGGGCAGATAATTGCTGATCATAGTTTTGAACTCTCCACTAACATGTACGTTTTACACGGAAGAAAGGAATCCAATATCGTTACGTCTTGAGAAAAACTCAAGTTCAAGCCACGACGAATCCTTATAGCCAACTTATGAATCCTACTGTAGGTATTCCTCTGAATGGTATCAAACATCGGTGAGAGTACAAAGAGTACTCGGTATGGTGCAACTAAGATCCAGTAGACCGTGTGAATTAACTGCAGGCGGAGTGTATAGAGTAAACATCGAAAATTTCGGAGTGGTATGTAATGCCTAACAATGCTACAACGGAACTCAGAGTAATTTTGTTTTTAGCATGATTATTAATTAATAACAAATACACTTTAATTTTAAGAGTTTTAAAACGTGCATGTCATACTTTACGATGTTGCTGTCGACGAGAAAATAGTTCCTCGTTATACCTGCCCATAACGTGTTTTCGTTGGACAAACATACTGTATTGATTATTCGACGTTCACACATTATTAAACTGCATGCGATTTAAGTGGTATTTGATTTAAATAGTCTTGTCATTACGATGTAGATGTATAGTTGATTAAATTTCTTAAATTGTACGGTCCTCCAAATGCTATATGGATGGCCATAAATTTCATAGGTGTTGAATTGTGTTCAATGCAGAATTTGGATTAAAATTAAATTATATTTTTTTATGAATCATACATTTTAGAATTGAATAATTGGTTCGTTGTAGTCCTATCCTGTTATGTAAATACACCGTCTATATAATTCCATTTAAAAAGAAATTATTATTACTTTCAACCCCTATGTATCTTACGGCCTACCTCTATCTGTTATTTTACCTATTATTTTTTTACACACTGTACTGCTGGTACTACTAATAGTATAGTATTGCATTTATTTTCCTTGGATCGTGGAAATAAGACAACGAAATAATTATTATTCTAATCGATTCTAAATATTGCAGATATTGAAGATAAACTGTTATTATACCGTTTCCATTGTATACGAACTATGCAGTTTAATATTACAACACGGGGGTCTATAAACATTCGCAATCTTCACACCACTGGAAGAAAAAGCAGCACATATTCAATATTCAAATACGCATAATTAAGCGATTGAGTGACTTGTTACTAATGTATTGCAATTCGACTGATTTTAATTAGTAAAGTATTATAATGTACGCCATTCGTCGAGACCCTCTCCCCCCTCATCGCAATTCACCCTCACTTCCTTAAATACTTCTAGAATTAAGAATCATATAGTACCGGGATAGCAGCATTTAAGATGCATTTTATATGTGTTAACAAACATTCAAGATGTCGAATTCAATATGACCAATATGTTCAGTAAAACGTTTCATTTGCCCAGCAAAATGTATCCGAAACAAACAAAAGATGAACGATGGTATCATTTAATTATCTCTTAAATACAACTGAAAAATCATCAACTCATTATATACCTTTATTTGTCGATCGCTTCTTTTTCCTCTTTCCTAGATTTGATTCCTGATATCCACCCCTCTGTAAGTCTCGTCTAATTCATGAACTCGCTATTCATTCGCTTATTCATTCTCTAAGATTGTGACACTTTACCATGCATTAGGTTTCGTGACGTTACTTTCTAGAACACGTAGCGAATTCTCTACCGCAGGATTGTCGTCCTGGGATGTCTAATTTAGAAGCCAGCAGAGGAGGACCATTCCTCGTACCAGCACGAGGATTGACAATCATCGGTTCGGTACATGACTGCGGGTACCGCCCATACAGACCTAGCCACCATCGTGTTCCCTGTCTCCGAGCCACCAAAAGATTACCAGGGTGATCTTCGAACCATCTCTCGAGCAGTTTATGTCAACCATCAGCTGTCTAGCTTGGATCACCAGAATTCTCAGGGAATGACTTCTGCGAAGCTGTCGAGAGTACCAAACGATCCAAATAATCAGAATCACCATGTTTATCCCTTCGTCTGATAATTACACAAGGTCGCAATTTATCGTCGTTATTAGACACGCACTCCGACTAGAACTTTTTCGATAATACAAGATTCAGACAAAAGATCGCTCGCAACTCTCGTGTGCCGTTTGTCAACCATGTTGTGTAAACAAAACAAACTCTCCGTGTTTGGTAAGGTCAATCCAGCTTGCCTCTACGTAAGAAACAAAGACGGCGTACGTGTCGCGTTTCCGAAGTACAGCGTAAAGTTGGAGCGACATTGGGGAAAGAAATGAAAGAGGATGTAGATCGAACGGTGGGATCCCTTCTATTGTCTTGACAATACGATCGATGTTAATGGACTTTTACGAACTCTACTAGTAGGTGTTTCACTTTTCCGTGTCTTAAATTTACACTGCTCTTTATCTTTGGTCGTCAACTACCATTAGCTATAGATGCGCGTGGAGTGATCACTTGACAAGTACGCATTACGTGGATCCTTTTTCATCAATCGATCACTACGGGGGATAAGAAAATGAGACCTTTTTGCGTTCGCTATAGGCACCTAGTAATTTGCTAAAATCCACTTCCGCGATGAATATTGTGATTGACAATTTTTTTTTTTTGAATTTATAAAAGAGATGTCTCTTTGTACGATTAGTAACCTACGATGAGATACTACTAATAAAAGTTCCACTTACGAGCTGCGCACTTTATCGAGACAGTTGCGCTGTAGGTATCATCGTGGATCATCTGTTTGCATTTCACGGTGTCGCATCGAATCGATTGAAAAATATATCAAGGGAATTGATATGAAGAGAATGACATCAACCGGTAAGAATTATCGTACTTTAATTCGCATGATATTGTTTATCGATATTCAAAGTGTTGGAAGTGCTCTGAAGTGCAAGAAATCTTCAACTTCAAACGGTCAGCCAAATCGTGAATGTCCCAACGTGTGACCGACCTTGTTACTATTTCTTTATTTATTTATGGCACGCGCTATTGCAAATAATGTCGCAAGGCAAGCATTTTTAATAAACGTTCAGTGCTCCAGGTAGACGATAGGAATGGAAGTGGCGTATTCAACATCCCTTACTACAGAGTGCTTAAAAAGTATATGATTATCATGGGACAATATCCAACTCAATCAGCTTTGGTGAATAATTGTTGCGTAACCGTATTGGTGGCGAGTAACATTAGTCTTATACTACCTACGGTAAGTGAAACATGCTCATTTGGGATAATGGGATGATGTACGTTCAGTTTCATAAATATTCGTAACCCTCTACGTCTATTCAAGAAATTTGTTTAAATTACATGTTAGATTCGATGTCGATAGATTTAGTCAAACTTCTACGATAGACACAGAGGGTACGAATATCCATGGGATCGACTGTATGTATAAATATATCTAAAAACTAACAAATCATAAGTAAATGTCAAAGTGATCAGAAGATATTATTGCACAATTGAAACATGCGATTCGATAGTTGTTCCAAATGTACATATCGATGCGCGCGAAGGATTTCGATGGAATCCTCGAGTGCCAACCGCACTTATTTACAACCGCTGTAAGTGGTTTCAAGTTATTATGTCTTCATGTGAACAAGGAATATGTACGTATATTCTCTATCGTGAAACGAACTTACTTAACGCGTAGGATCATACGAATCGGAAACATTGCAGTTGAGGAAAATGTTTGTCTCTGTGGAAGAAGAATGGAAGCTGCTGAAATTTAACGGTGGCTTGTGCACTCTGGATGACATTACCAAATCCGGATGTAAAATTGCGCAACTCTACAGAAGTAGGCATCCTGTTGCGATACTCGTCTTGTTGTAGTTTAAAAGATATTTATATGCAGCACCTTTCAGGTAGCTTGTTGTCATTCTTGTCAGTATTCGTAATGCTACCGTTGGTCAATCCTATGCTGGATATCGTTATGCCACTGAACGAAACCAGACCTCGACAACAAGTATTTAAACTTTATTACTTCGTGAACAACGACGATCATTTTTTCCCCATATATTTCCACGCGAGTATATGTTCGATTTGTGCTATACTGATGATAGTCACTTTCGATTCTGTGTTCATGGTGATATCTCATCACGCCTCTGGATTATTTGTCATATGCGGGTAAATATAACAGTAAAACATTAAAGTCGATTCAGACTATACGACAACGGACCGTCACGTTCCGGCAACGACACCTACCCGCACCGATACGACAAAACATTAAACACGCGTTTTAATGGAACTATTCACACTATTCCCGTTGACGGAACGTTCAGGTCGATGTCTGTAATAGTGCGTTTACACGCTCAAGCCATTTGCACAAATCGGCTTGCACAAGTAAATCGTAGCGTGTGAACTCAGGCATGAAGCTTGCGCAAGCCAAGAAATTTGGCTTGAGTGAAATCTGTCCTGACAGAAAATCGGCTTGAGATTGGGCTTGAGATTGGTGCGTGTAAACGATGTTCAAGCCTCAGTTACAATCGCACGCATGCGCATGCCTGTCTGTTAAGTATGAATAGTTCCATTAAAACGCGTGTTTTAATGTTTTGTCGTGTCGGTGCCGGTACGTGTCGTTGCCGGAACGTGACGGTCCGTGTCGTATAGTCTGAATCGATCTTAAGATGATGCTTTTGGGTTCACATACTCGAGGACCACTTCACGAATCATTTGCACAACATTACCTCGACACGAAACAATGAAGAATGTTCTTTTCTTTCGGCGCGTAATTCCACAGTTTGTTCACTCGATTGATTTTAATAAATACAGAGATAAGATTAAGAAATCGACGGAAAATAATCGAACTAAAATTGGAGTTGCTGAGTGGGACGATGGATACGAAGAAGCCAGAGAATGCGTGGCGGCACACAAGAAAGCTATCGAGTTTGTAAAGATTCATATTAAATTAGGAAAAAAGGTACGAACCATTAATATTACCCGACTGACTGGTTATTTTATCGTGTTTCAAGGTTTTTCAAGATGCTGGAGCAAGTGACTGAAAAGCTTTACCTAGTTCTGATTGGAAGTAACATGATCGGTATATGCGTAACAGCTTTTCAAGTAAGAAACTCTCTCTGCAGAAATGTTCGTTTAAAGGACTGTTAAACGGTTTTAAATTTCGTTCGTTAGGTAGTCGTACATTTAAATGAACCCGACGAAGCTATCAGATATGTTGTTTTCTGTGTTGCCCAGAACTTTCATTTATTCTACGTCAGTATACCCGGACAGATAATTGCTGATCGTAGTTTTGAACTCGCCACTAGTATGTACGTGTTGCACGGAAGAAAGGAATACAGTATTGCAAACTAAGTATCGAAAACGTAAGCTCGAGTCACAGAACGTAAAATGAATCCTACTGTAGGTATTGCTCTGCATGGTATCGAACTTCGGGGAGAGTACAAAGAGTACTTGGTATGATGCAACTAAGATCCAGTAAACCGTGTGAATTAACTGCAGGCGGAGTATATAAAGTAAACATCGAAAATTTCGGAGCGGTATGTAATGCCTGACAATGCTGGGAGAATGGAACCCGCAGTATTTCTGTTTCTAGCATGATTATTAATTAATAACAAATACACTTTAATTTTAAGACTTTCAAAACGTGCATGTCATATATTACGATGTTGCTGTCGATGAGAGAATAGTCCCTCGTTATACCTGCCCATAACGTGTTTTCGTTGGACAAAAATACTATATTGATTATTCGACGTTCACAGGCTAAACTGCATGCAATTCAAGTGGTATTTGATTTAAGTAGATTTCGTCATTACGATAGAGATACATAGTTGATCAAATTAGTTAAACCGTATGGTCCTCCAAACGAGACACCATTGGCCAGATATTTCATAAGTGTTGAGTTGTTGTTGTATTGTGTTTATCGTAAAATTTCAACTAAAATAAAATTATATTCTTCTATAGATAATCCTTACTAATCCTCTTACTCAAACACATTATTTATATAATTTATTGAGTATTATTTGAGACGTATCTTTTGCATGTCTATGTACAGCATGTAAACGAGTAATAGGTTTGTTCACATTATCAATCGTAACTCGATAATCATAAGTATGTGCTTAGTCTCTATACCAAAAAAGGAGCGTTGTAAGCATTAGTTTATTGTAAAGTTTTCAACTTATTATTTTCTTAGACACTACTGGTATTGCTAATGCTACAGTATTCCATTCATTATCCTTGGACCGTGGAAATTAGATAACGAAATAATAATTATTCTAATAAATTCTAAATATTACAGATATTGACAAGAAACTGTTGTTATATCACTTCTGTGGTACAAGAACTACGCAGTTTAATATGTCAACATGGGTGTCTATAAACATTCCACATCAGTGGAAGACGAAGCAGCACAAATTCAATATTTAAATACGTATAATTAAGGGATTAAGTGATTTATTACTAATGTATTGCAATTTGACTGATTTTAATTAGTAAAGTATTATTATATACGCGATTTGATTAAACCCACCCCGCCCCCATCCTAACTCACACTAGTGCGTCGTCGAGCATACATATCTAACTAACTAAAAATGCCAAATGGCATTATTGTCGACCAAATGTATTCGACAATTAATTACTGCGAAAATTTAAAAGCGTCTCCCTTTTGCGTTTAAACGATTTGGCGCGTAATGGAACGAAATTTCAAATTCAATATGATCAACTTGTTTGGATAACACTTGTTTCATTTGTCTAGCACAATATATATAAACGGTGAAATATTATTATCTTAACAGTAAAACACGTAAGTTTAATTAACTCTTTAAGATTATGACATTCGAAGATTATTGCCATCCCGCAAGATGGCAGACTGTTTTACCATTAGTGATGCCATCGGCGGGAAAATGACCAAATTTGTCGTAAAACAATTGTTTCCACTGTTGCTGCTAGATGGCGCCACCAACTGAAGGGTCGATAATTTTTCCTACATTAAACAACTATTCATAAGAATGTCAAATTTGACATATAAACTTATGTATTGTAGTATTATAAAGCGAACAATTTTACGAAATAGAGAATTTATAAAAAAATTAAGAATAAACAATTACAATGTATCGGTGGCGCCATCCTATAAAACCAGGAGGAACTATTTATCACTACTAACTTAGGTGTTTTCCCACCGATGGCGCCATTGGTACTCGCTCATTGAGCGGCTCGGTGAGCGGTGACCTTTCTGGATGCTCCCAAACGACTCGATGGACTCGGCCGCGCGTACATGACATCGAAGGCAGCGTTTTGTGTCTCATCGAATTGTTCTTGGTATTTACAGTGTTCAGTCGGTGGAGCTTGACAGTACGTTAGAAACGAAATGATTCTGTTGTAAAGTTGACGGTGATGTAACGGAAAGTAAATCGGTGAGAGTGAACCGATTCGCGGTGAATGAGAAGATATTAAAGTGAAGTGGAGAAGGAAAATCGGCCCGGGGAAGGTTTATCATCGTCGTTTCGAATGGATACACAACCTCTCTACTGAACAAGTTTTCATCTTACTGAGCTTACTTTGTCGTAAGATAAATATTTAACAGTTCTTGTAGTCTCTGTCGCGAATATCGTGTATTCTATTGTATAAAAGGTTACATTAGATTAATAATGAGCGATGGTAAGAAGGTAGGTGAAAATTCCAGTAGTGAGGTTGTTAACCAATTTCGAAGCTGTAGGGATCTCAGCGATATCGTGCCTCTGTATACGCCACGCGCGCTTTATTTAAAACCAGTTGCAAAAATAAATGTGTCTGTTAATCTTCCCCAGCTGAAAGTCCCAGGTAAAATGGCCAAGAATCGCAGATACTTTTAATCCACCTCTAGTGGCATTTCTGTGTCTTTTAACTGCTGTTGACTTTACGTTTTCGTTCAAAGCTTATTCTTTCTTTATTTAGGGGAGAATATTTCCCATAATCTTTGGAGTAGAATCCCTAACATATATGATTGTATCAATTTTTGTTCATTATGTGTCAATAAATTTTATTCTATTAAACTTATTTCCTCAATTCCATTAGGTTCACAAGTTCTCTTTGATAATTGCTTCTAATAATGGTATTGGCTTTTCTGACAGGAAATATGTGATGTCATTTTAAACTCAGTGCAAATCTGTAATTACACATAATATTTTTAGCACAGTAGGTTTTTACAGAAAATTAACTGCGATATAAACAGGAAAAACTATATCAACATGGGAAGTAATGGAGAAGATACGTGCCTTAATACTACCGGACGAGTTTGCATCTCTGAAGGTAGCCAAGAGTACACTGGAATTTATCAGATTGGAAGGGGACTTGCAAGACAGATGCAGACTCCAGCGTGTGCTTGCAAGACTCGATTCTCAGCATTTGAATCTATCTGGATTTGCCAACATTTTGAAAGTTCGTGCAGCAGAGACAAAGGATGACTTTCCCACGAGACATAGTTGGGATTCTTACTTTAGAGATGCTAAGCACATGAATGAATTGAAGCCTGGAGAGAGGCCTGATACGCTACACATAACAGGCTTGCCTGTTAAGTGGTTTACAGAAGATGGTTCAACCATGCCTAGTGAATCCTTGGTTGCCAAAATTTTTAAAAAATGGGGAACACTTAGAAGAATCGATGTACCTGCTGCAGATCCTTATAGATCTAGAATGCGTCTTGGTACAAACATAAATAAATTTAGTTACGAAGATGGAATATTTTTTGATGCTTACATTCAATATGTGGAATATATGGATTTTGTTAGAGCTATGGATGCATTGCGTGGTATGAAGATTCTTAAAAAAGAAGGGGACAATGCATTCACTGCTGCCATAAAGGTTTGTATAAAATATGATTTTTGTACATATATATTTGACATGTACAAAAATACGATTTGTAGATTACTTTTGACAAAACAAAACACATGAGCGATAGTTCTGTCGCGCATAGAGAATTCGAAAGAAAACGCCTCATAGCACAGGATACATTAGCGTCGGAACGGCTTCGTAGGAAAGAAGAAGCTGAAGAGAAACGTCGTGTCGAACTAAAGTAATTAGCAATCAATTCAATGTTTGTAAACATGACTTAAAGTATGCTATCGGATACCTCTTATTATAGGAAAAAGGAAGAAGCCGATACAACTGCTAAAAAACGAAGACGACAAAAACGAGAAGAGAAACGCAAACGCAAAGCTTTGACTATGTTTCGGAAAAAAGAAGAAGATAAAGTGTCTATGAAAATTGCTAGAGAAGGACAGAAATTAATAAAAGCACAGAGGCAGCTTGAAAGCATTCGCCTGTTGGACGAATTATTTGACAGGATAAAGGTACAATTGTAAGAAATGTGTGCTACACGAAGTGTTCATGTTCATAAAATAAACTTAAATGGGTTTTTTATTTTAAGATAAAAGTGGAAAATAATGAAATTAAAATAGATGAAGTGACGAACACGGATGTAAAGAAAGACGACAAAAAGAATAGTAAACAAGATGGCGCTGTTCAAATACTCAGTTCAGACGAGGAGACAAAAGATGGAAAAAACGAAAAGAAAATAAAAAAGTCGAAACGGAAGAAATCAAAAAAGGGAAAAAAATCAAAGGTATGCGTAATAATGTACTTTTGGAATATTCGATTTCTTATCGTATGTATTTTCTAGAAGAAACATAAGAAGGATTCTGCAAATTCTGCAAGTCTCAGCGACGATTCGGATGCGGAAGGTCAAACGAAGAAACTGAAGAGTGTTCTAAAACAGAACGTTTCATATCCATCTTCGTCGACAGGTAATTGTCAGGAGTAAGCGTTAGTATTAAATTTCAATTACATTTTACTTTACCTAACCTTCTTTTCAGCTCCTACTGCCTTGGAAACTCTTCCTTACCCAAGTCTCTATCCACGATTTCCGCAACCGTGGTACTACGAAGCAGCGTTACCCATGATTTACCCTGCTTTGTCAAGGGGTGTGCCCAGAGGTGGACGATTTCCACGCGGGAGGGGTAGAGGATTTCTGTGGCGTAATGCTGGAAATGCTCGCACACTGCACTCTTTCAACCCACATTTATACAACGAGGAGTACTACAAGTACTTCGCTCATTTAGTAGGCCAAGATTATCATTCTTTCGAATTTAGAAGTTCAAGATCCCGTAGTCGCAACAGGTCGTTCAGCAAATCCAGATCTAGATCTAAGTCCAGATCGAGGTCAAGATCCAAGTCTGGTTCAAGGTCGAGGTCCAAATCGCGGGATCGATCGAGATCACGTGCAAGATCGAAGACCGGTTCGAGGTCGCGAAGTCGGAGACGCAGTAAAAGTAATAGCAGATCCCGATCAAGAAAACGACGGGGAAGATCGAGATCTATATCGAAATCAAGGTCGAAGTCTTCCACGAGAGTAAGGTCCCGATCTCGTCGATCGAGATCTAGAAAAAAGTCCCGTTCTCGAAGTCGTTCAAAGTCCAGAAGTAATACCAAAAATCGTTATAGACGAAGACGAGATAGATCAACGTCAAAGGTCAAAGTGACAAGGGCGAAATCTCGCAGTGCATCACCCAAAAGAAGATCTCGCAGTAGCACTTGGTCCATGCCAAAGTCTCCTGGTAGAAGAAGCTGTTCCTGGTCGAAAGGTGTCGATACTATTAATAATAAAGCGAATTCGGATAACTCGACTCTCGCGGAAGAGCAAGCGGGTACGAACAAAGAAGCGCCACAAACTTCTCAACTGGAAAACGTAACTTCCGACTGACGACCATTGAAGATTATTCTTCCGTTGTGTGTCTTCGATCCTATCGCGTAAAAGGAATGCATAGTGTTGTAATACTGTGTACAAAAACTGTGTAAATTTGTGTAACTGTACTTGTATATATACACAGACGTTGGTAGTGTGCGTTGACGAAAAAAAAAAATATATTTTTGTTTACGTGATAACCCTTTCTAACCTTAAGCAACGCATTACAGTAATATGTAAGTAAAAGAAATCAAAAATATTGGTAACGTTTAGATCCTATAGATGTTTTCAACTTTGATTATATTCTGTAGCATACAAACCCACGAAATGATAGAAGTACCGTATTTTCTAATCGCCGTTCAAAATAAATACGACATCGACAAACTAGACGCCATCTTTTTTATATACAGAAGCGTCTAACATTATTAAACAGTATGCAATACTTACGGATTGTCCTCTACGAGATGATACATTTAGTAATAGGACAGATAAATAAGTGAAATCGGAGTTTTTTGTTTAAGTTTAAAGAAATACGCATTGAATAAGATGTAAGGACATTTTGCTACGTAAAAATTTAGATCGTATCTGACATGTCGTTTTCTTTATTAATTTCTTTTGTTTCCTCGTAAAGTTGACTCTGGTAGCTGTTATGCTAGTTCGCGATGATCCTAGCAAGTTCAAATGAATCGAGATTGGCCCTGAAGAAATGAAGTGGATTTTGAAAATTCGTGTAAGTTAGAATCGATGTAATATACTTGCGTGTTGGATAAGTTTAAATGAGCTGAATTCGTGTTAAAATGTGTTTGGATATCGGATAACGAACAAGAGATGAAGGAATTTTTATCCGTTATTTGCTGAATAAAAATTATCAAATGAAATAACCATTTCGAATATTTTTTTCAGTCCTTAAGATGGATGGAGTGTAAATGGGTGCAATAGTGTGAAAGGAGCGTGAATGCATTTGAAAAGGTGGTACGGATCGAAAGAGTCGGGATTCACAGTTATAATAAATGAAAAATTACTTTCATATTCGACTTGCAAATTTTATTTGTTCTCGGCATGAAAATGCATTGGTTCATAAACATTGTTAATCGTTATACCCCTATCCCTTCGAAGATCGATTCTTAGCAGCGTTTCACGGAGATACACGCTACGATTAGATTATCGACTGGTTCTCGCTTGATATTAGTTCGCCTATGATTAACAGGATTGAAGTTCATTGGTTTTTTGTTAATTTTTTTTTTTTTTTTGTTTACTTTATTAGTGCCGTGATCCGCATCGCGCGCGTATCCGCCCGACGTTATTCATCTCAAACACGGTCGTTTCTCTTTAAAAATATGTGCTACATTTTATTTTTTTTTGTTTGTTTTCTCATCGCTATATTAATATATAATAATACGTATATATACACCTCGCATTGTTAACCGCGCCTCGTATGTTTCTGAATAACAACTCGTTTGTTACAATCGATGCTCCACAATGATATTCAATCTAAATGGAAGATTTTTATCATTCTCGAACATCATTCGTTTTACAAGTTTTTGTTTAACTCTTTTTTTTCTTTTTTATTATTTTTTTTCGTTTTCAACGTTTTATTGGCATTACTCGTATTACGGTTTACTGGTTTTTCATCTGTTTTCTTCTTGCTTTAAATCGTCTACCGCTACGGTATCTTCGGAATTGATTAGATATTGACTACTTTCAAGATTCGTTGCGTGGGAATTGTTTCTTTTAGATTTTATTGGCAGCGGAACGATAGCGTTCTTCTGTTTCCCGCGTTCGACCCTGTCGCGCTGGCGTTTAGTTTTCCCCACGTAATTCGCGATTATCTCGTGAATTTATCGGGTGTGCATTGGCACGTGATCAAGGACAAAATTATTAAACTTCACCCTCGTTTTTTAGTCTTGCTTGAACAACGTCGAATTTCTTGTACCGGATGAGCGCTATCGTTCGCGATAATTGTATCGGTGACTAGAGGAACGAACTGATTCCACATCTTTCTATTTCTATCATTTCCTGCGGAATGATAAACAATTTGTTTGCGACTTTAGGAATCGATTCCATTTGAAATTTATTAGTGGAAATGCTCGAGCATTGTCTTCTCAAATGGTGGTCTATGGACTCCTATCGTATAATGGAATAAAAACATGCTTTATTTCGTAATCTCGTTATTTGAAAAGTAAGAGTAAACGGAGCAATATTAATCGGTAAAAATAAAAGGTTATCGAGATATCGTGTACGATTCAGTTTCAATGTAGACTTCATCATATTTTACCGGAATAACCAAGTCTGAATCGCGCGTGACAATTTTATGTTTAGTTTGTTCTTCTAAAATTTTGCAGGATCTCGTTGTTTCTCGAATCATCGATGCAACATTGCTCGAAATAATTCTGCATCATTGCATGCTTCACGCTTACGGAGTACAGAGTTACCTCTTCGTTTAATCGATCTCGTTCCATTCGTCTCGATGTACATTCTAGAAATGAATCGTCCATTTTCCAATAGCGAAGCCTCTGGAGTTCCCTCAGTCGCCATTCTAGGTACAAAGAATTCAAGTACAATGGAAGATTGAACACGCTAAAAGAACTTCTATAAAATTCCAGACTCTCCGAACGAGGTTGATTAATTTCAATCGATGTTTCGGTAAAATAGCATTATAATCTTATTCAACGGAATTTTTACGCAACGTTAACGCCACAAACAATATTACGTGTCGCTGTGGGTGTTCTACATTTTTCGAATGCTAATTATACGGTTCTGTATAGAAATGATTAATTTGCTCCTAAGAATGTGTTACGTGTTAAACAGCTTTCAATTGTTGTCTTCTAATCACTGTTTCTTCGTAACGATCGTATGAATAGTCCAATAGAAAATTAGCAGAAGCACAGTATTCTCTCAGTTTCTTTGAAGTTTTTAGGACACATCGAGTATTTGGGAAATGAACGACCCAGAAGTACAATTTTCATAATTGAGCATCGCATGCTTTCGCCGCCAGTCATTGTCCGATAATGTAAAAGTACTATCGCGCCACCCTGTGGGTTACCTCATCGTAATCTAGACCTCTGCAGATGGGTCGGTACAGTGAAAGGACACACAGAAGGTGCAACGTACTCATAGTAATTATAACCGCTCTCCTCGTTGGTAATCGACATCGATGATATCCGAATTTGAGCATAAAAGTGGTACACGACGTGCAATCTCTCGTTTTGTATTTTGAAAAGAACGACCGGGGAAGGGATGAGCATTTTTCAAACTAAAATTAATTCAATCTTTATCGAATGTCTTTTGTAATACTGATTTCTTGCAACCCTACTAACATTAAGCGATTGAAAATAATCAGACTAAATAATAACATTGCGAGTGTCACAGATCGTAACTGAATCTCGCAAAGGAGCTCTGGGTATATCTCTTCGGATTTACAAATGTCATGGCAAATCCTTTCGATGCTTTGTTTTAATAACGTCTCTGGTCCGTGCAGATTGTCTGCAACCGGATCTCCATGAATTTACGTAATTAACCGTGCAGTTCCAACGTCAACAACAGTCGCGTTCGATTCCCGTGAACGCAACAGCGCCGGTGCAGATACAAAAACCTCGTTCATCAACTAAGTACAGACGAAAACAGAGCTGCGTGCATTCCCGCGAAGCGAATATCTGGGAATGTCAATAACAAGGGGTATGGATAAATATATCTCGAGTGATACGACGACTAAGTGGACAGAAATAAATTCGAAGAAATAATATTGTCTCGTTACGATATTAATCCCTTGACCTAAACGTTATCTCCCGATTTCCGGGCCATAGTAAACAGGAAGGTAGGAAGTCCGAACGAGGTACCACGAGTCAGTCTCGTGGTTATTATTTATATAAAGGGTTGATATAAATTATTCACTTTGTATACGATTGGAGAAGTTCGAGACAAGAGTGCTTCTCCTGTGTGTCCTTTCAGCGACAAATAATACAGGATAGAGAGAGAGAGAGAGAGAGAGAGAGGGGGGGGGAGAGAGAGAGAGAGAGAGAGAGAGAGAAACTCGTTAAAAAAGACTATTTCCCCTTAAGTCGTGGTCGCTAGATCACCCTATAGATTAATAGTTAGTACATTACTTAGTAATTTTTTGGTCATTTTACGTAACAATTAGATGGCGACAGCCCGCTAGGTAATATTGGTAAAGATCTTAATAAAGTGTCTGAGAGTTAAAACCGTTTAAACGCTACTGTTATTAATAATAATAATCCATAATAATAATTCATAATAATAACAACAATAGTAAATGATTATACGTGATAATAACGTAGTAATGCTCGTATAAATCGCTCGGAGCATGATTTCTCCGGCAAGTGTTTTCAACTCGTCCTCTTCTTGCGTTTTTTATTTCGTGGCATTTTTTTTTATCACTTGACTGAATTACCGTTGATTCATTGTTTTCAAAGACGACTGATCGAACCGTTTGCGATTTTCAAGTAGCTTCCTGCGCCCGTTTATACTTTTTCACGATCCCCTGAAAACCCTTCTCAGGATTCCATCCCTTAGGATTTTTTCTCGCCCTTCTTCCTTCTGTTTTCAAGAATTTTGTGTAGTTTGGCTATGACAGGACGAAATCAATTGGCGGCTCGAGGTCACCGAGATGCTCCATAGAAATTTCGTCTGAACTCCATTTTTTAAACCTAAACAAAGATCGTTTTCATATGTTACCGGCGTATTGTGAAAATAAGAGTTTCACTTGATTCGCAGTGAGAGAGATGACCTCGAGTAACCGTGATTTTTTTCTTGACCATACTTGATCGTAACAGGAAGAAAGAAACTGAACGACGATCAACGTGTTTCTGTTTGCTATAGTTATGTACAAAGATAGTCTGAATCGTCTTACATTTACGTTTGACTCTTCGTTCGTTCTTGTCTTTTATACTTTTCACGACGATGTCAAATATATTTACTCTATTTCGTTCGCTGTCTATCTTAAATTTCCTTTCCATTTTTCAGCTACAACCCATTCTCATGGCTTGACTGTTGGCGCTTATCGTGACCGAGCACATCGCAACTCAGTAGAACAACTACATATTGTATACTTCCTTGGGAAAAAATGCAATACCGTACAGCACTGAACTCAGGCTCGTTCGCTCGAAACCTATTTCTATCCGACATTTGAAGATGGAAAAACGCAAATTGGTAATTATAAACGAGCATAAACGGAACAAATTCTTAACAGATATTACACAATTTCAAGAAGAGACGAAATTGCGATAGGTGAAATTATTATTCGCAGCGTTCCCTGTTATCAACGTTTAAGGTTTCATTCTTCGTGCATATTACCCAAATATCACTGCGCGTCGCACAACAGGAGGGGAGCATCCAATACATGTTCTCAGCCACGGGGCACGTTCGACTGACGCTCTTCCCGCCCCAGCATTTGCAATCCCGTCGAACGTACAAAATACATATGTACACATACAAAGTACGACAGTTAAACATCAATTAAACATTCGACGAATGTGAAAACATGGCGCGCGAAAGATGCTAGGTCGAACCTGCCGGCTAACGCAAAAGCGCCCTCAACATCTCACGTAGACGTACGTATAAACGCATAAACTCTCTTCGAAACAAAGGCCATAATACACTTTTCAATATATGTATATATATACACTATATACTATAATATCGTGTATATTACATAATATAGTATACACATATGTACAGGTATAAACATACAAATCAATCTCTGCATAGTCAAGGAAGGGACTTGGTCAATCTGAAGCGTTTGCGTTAGTTCGGACAGTTCCACGAAATAGATCTTTGGAACGATATGCTAATCCTTTTACGCAGTGCGCTGTAAACAAAAAAAAAAAAAAATGATTTCCGTCCATCGTCGCGACACAGCTATTTTTGGGCGCTGTTCGAAGTAACGAAAACATTTCAGACGCACAGAGCGTTCCGTTCTATATTCACACACGGTACAGTGTTCTATCTATATTTATATGAATACATGAAGTCGTCAATGAAACAATTTCACTAGGACAATTCACTCGCCGGTTAAGGTCCTTCTCGTGGGATGTCGTACCGAAGCGATCTCCTTCGTCGCGCGGTGTCGTTTTCCAAGAGCACATCTCGCTCTAATGTACAGCTATTGTTCAGAGAAATGTGCGGCAAAAAGCGACTTTCTTGTTTCCCTCTGTTCCATTGTCGCGTTAGTCGGTTCTCTACGCTACGCAATGGCCGTGTCCTAATATTACTTTCCTCGAAAGCTTCGCTTCTTTAGGTCAATTCGATTTGGGAGATGTATTGTAACGAAGACTCTTGTCGAAAGGAAATAACGAGTGGGGTTCGAATCGATAACGTTCTATTTATTCGCGTGTCGTTGGCAGAGAAATGCAACATATTTTACTCGGAAAGTATGGACGTTCGTCGCGTCGATAAAGCAAGAGGTCCTTCCCGCGATCCCTATCCGTGTCCTTCTTTCGCCCAACGATCCCTCGAGCTCGGGCGTGAACGGCTTCGACGACGTATCCGATCGTTAACTACTACAGTCTCATGGAACTATTCGTTACTTAAAGAATATCGTTTATCTCCGAAGGTAGCGTCGCAATTGAAAAACGTTATGTTTCATCGAAATATCGAGAATGCGATTCTTCTAACAACGCGTCGACCGTATCTACGTCTCGTCCTTGCGCCTACGAGGCTAACTCGAAACGGCCAACTCGATACCTCTCGAACCTAGCTGCCCGATCTCTACGTGGGAGGCTAATTTATGATCCAAAGCAACAACGGCACCGATCAGACTAACGAGACCGCTGGACCGTTAACTTTAAATCACCGATTCGCTCGATTAACGGAGGACGATGGCGCGCTCGGAATTCTCTCGAAAATCCCGAAACTCCGTTCGAATAATTGGCGTCCGTGTTGGTCGTGCAAATAATCGCCTCTGTCCGACAGAATCGCGGCTCGACGCTGCATAAACGAAGCACCGCCGGGACTCGTTAACAGCAATCGACGCGAGACTACCTTGTTTTCTGCACCGATTCCCCCCTTTTCGATCACCTGTCCCCGTGGCAGACAGGAGCGAGCGGGTACCCGACATTATGGTTGTTTAAGAACAGGTCCGAGGCACTGGAAGTTCTGTGTTACATACTCGTGCCTCTATTTTAGAAATGTTTGGGGAACCGTGCGTTCTAATAGTCTGGCCAAAGAAAATATCGACGAGTTTCTGATTTCGGTATTATTCTGCCGAGCTTCATTCGACGTAGCTCGGAGGTAGAGAGATTAGTAAGAAAGAAACGAAGGAGTAAGAGAAATTTGTTTCTCTCTGAGTCTACTACAATAAGGACCAAGTACTTTCGTGATAAATAAGTAGAATGAATAAACAGAATTTCTTCTGTATGAATTAACTACAAAATTTGCATTTAATTAGGAGATGAGAGTAGAGGTGGCAGTAGGGGTCAAAAGTCCCAGTCGATTAATTCTTCGGCCAGACAGGTAGCGACAGAGCTGTCCCGGACATGTCCCTCGCGATCACGTGCTTCGTCGATGATCTCGATGATTAACTACAGCTCCCGTATTTAAATATTATAATACTTATAGAATCGGTTTCTATCGCCTAGCGCACCGATATTGCGACTGTTTTTTGTTTTTCAGTTTTTTTCTTTAACTTGGCGTGGTCTTCCTGGCACTATAATGCACTTTTAAGAAATCTATATAAAAATATCGTGTGGAGTTGTGTCCAGTACGTTGAGCCGCGACAGGGAGAGATAGAGGGAGGGAGAAACGTACAGAGGGGTAGGAGATAGAGATGGGCAAAACTTCGATACCGATTTGCTCGATCGAACGGTTAAATTTTTAGTTGCATAACGTTTTTACAAGCCCTAATTTCATCATTCGTTGTTTGATAATCCTATCTAGATGAGAATTTTGTCCATCTCTGGCAATAAACCTCCTCGGGAGAACAGAGGAGCGGCGAGAACAGGAGAACGAGAAACTCGATGGAGGCGTCCAGAGAGGAAGATAGGAGAAAGAAAGGGAATGAGAACGTTGTGACAATTGTGTCATTTTTTTTTTTCTTTTTGGTCCCGTTTCGCGTTTCGGAGTAGCCGCGAAACAACGCTTTCGAAATGAAACAATGACGGACTGGACAAACCCAGGTCCCAACATTTTTCCTCGCGGAAACGAATTTTCGATCATTTCTGAGGGCAGACAAGTCTCTTCGAGTCTCCTTCGTTCTTCTTGTTGCGTGTTTAACTTCGCGTCCAAGTCGTGCTATCTTTCTTCTCTCAAATGTATCGATCCTTTCTCGTCCCCTTCAGACTTCTTTTCTTCCATTTTCAACGAGGAATCGAGTGGTTCGATCTGCCCCCAAAAATCTCGATTACGCGATTCCACGTGTCGATCGTGCGGTTACGGTTTTGCTCCTTCGTTTCTCTGTTGTTCGCTTGCTTGTCTCCACTAGATCGTCGCTCGCGTTTCTCGGAGGTCTGAACATCTTCGGGGTTGATCACGTCGGAAACAACGAATTATACGTCAAACTGCGTGGACAACGTAATATTCTATATTACGTTCGAAATTAATAATATATTACGAAACAATGTGTCACGGAATATCATAATATATTATCAACATATGTGTTTATGCATGCGTGTGTTTGTGTGTATGTGTGTGTTCGCATCAGAGACGGGGAAAATTTATTTGGAATAGTAGGCGACGATTGAAACCAATAGTACAACGGCTTATTAGTGAGGTTTAATTAATATCGGAGTTGATAGATCAATTTTGTATTCACTCAGCGTAAAATATTTTATTCTATAATTCGAATTCTAATTTTAAATTCACGAGTAATGGATAAAAAGTTGATTAAAGTATAATCTAGATAAGGATTTTGCCCATCTCTGGTTTGAGTATGTTCGTTCGTGTTCGTGTGTGTATTTTATTATATGTGTGAATGTTATATATATATTTATATATGTATACTCGGTCGAAGAAATGAATCGCCGCATCGCGATTGATTTCATCGACGCTGTCCGTTAACGTACTCGTTTTCCCCCGATCCGCGTAATCAACTTGAACGCTTGGTATCAATTAACGTAAATTAACTTTATATTCGTACCAACGCGACATGTTCGTAACGGCGGGCTGGCCGAACGTCACGTGACCGAAATTCGGATAGTAATTTTTATCGGATAAATTGCATATCAAAGGTTCTGTACCTTTTGTTTGATATTTTTAATTTTTTGTCTAGATGAAAAATTCGCTCTGCTCTGCAACGAATTCAACGTCTTGGCGCCGTCGACTTCCGGCCGTGTTGCGGTCATCGCAGTCCCACGCGATACGAACACAGGACTGGATAAAATGGCGCCTCGAACAGGAAACGGTGAACGGAACATCTCGGAAGAATGCTCTGCCATGCAGTGTGGTGAGTGAATTTTTTAAAATCTTAATTTGAAAATGTGTAACGCGGAGACTACGAAATCACATGGCACGCGGGAGAAACTAAACTCAGGATTATAAACTAGACGAACGATCTTTTTCTTTTATCGAATTCTATGCACGTTAGAATTTCGTTCATTAAAATCGAAGATAAACCAAATAATGGACTACCTCGTTGAATGAACAAACTGAATTGCAACGTGCACCAGTTGCAGAGTCGGTTCTCTTTATTTACAACTTCCTGTTCGATGCATTGTTCCATCCACTCCTGCTGTCGACGTCAAACATCGTTGACGAATCGATTACTTCCCATTCGTTTAGTCGTACTTCGTTTTAATTAAGCCTATCTCGTGGCAACGGCATGGAGCGTGTGTACAGGATGGTCCGACTGCCTAATCCCGTGGATTTTAATTCTACCGAAAATTATTACAGGGTAACGAAAGTTGTCCAGTAGAAAGGAAGTCGTGCGTTAAAGTATTCGAAGTTTTTCTGTCGCCTCTATGTCAGGGTCAGTTCGGAATTCTCGTTGAGTTCGAGTTTATTTTCACAACATGAAATGTAGACAATGTATTCGAGACGGGTTCGAAACGAATTCGACTACGTATGAATACGTGATTTTCGAGTGACCTAGATCCGTCTCACGTCCTGAAATACCAAAATAGTCTCGGTAAACCTCAGCTCAAGTTTGTCTATCCAACATTAATAAACACAAACTAAGAACCAAAATTGTGTTCCCTTTGCAAAATGTATCACACCCTTTGAATATTTCGGAGAACTTAAAAGAGTCGCTTAAAAGTTACGGTAAAGTGCGTCAAAGGGACCAAAAGAAGTCAACGAAGTCGCGGCATCGATTTTCCAACTTCGAAGCACGAGAAGTCAGGTCAAGGTCATCGAAGGTCACATTCTTGCATCCAGACCGATTTTGCCTGTTTTTTTACTACAGAGAGAAAAAAAGAAATTTCGATTTCTCGCGAACGGCACGCGTTTCGTTCGCAACAATTTTCGATAAAATTAACGTTTACGGTGTTATGCGAGTGGATCACACCCGCGCGAGCACACACACGCGTGCATACCGCTCTGCGTAGCCCGTTTATAAAAAATTTCCCCCATTCGGTGGAAACGTAGCCTTTGTACCCGTGCGCCACGTACATACACTTTGTATACACTAACAATATAATATCCTATGTAACCTACGGACGTTAAAGCGGATAAGATCACTTTGCATTCTCCCTCCATCAGTCCCGGAGATTCACTTCGTGGTCTCTTGGTGGCCCTTAAAGTTCGTCCAGCGTCATTCGTTTTGAAGGGGGGATCGACGATGGGATTTATGCTATCGTTCTCTATTTACATAATTGGTTATGGGAACGCTAACGTCTGAGTTTGTTGTCGCGGTATTTGGAGATTTATTGGGTTCGTGTTCGGTTAATCGTTCTGTGTTGGAAGTTGTCAGAGGCTGTATCGGTAGATGCAGTCACGAAGCGGTGGGATCAATTAATCGTTAACGTGCTAGCTTGAAAGTAGAAATAAACAGGATGTAGCGATGTAAATAAAAGGTAAATGGATTAATGGGAGAATTTATGTATATCGGAAATACCGTCGCTGCTCTGAAACTCTCGTCGGTAATTCCAAGAGAACAACGATGGCTTTAGCATACTAATGGTTCAGAGGATTATCTTAGACATAAGCGCATCGTCCACTCCAAAATAACTCTAACCGGTAGGGTCAACTCGTCGGTAGTTGATCAGCATCTACTTGTTGGTCCTTTCCTCGCGGTCAGGATGTTTATTACCGCGTATTCGTGATCGTATAAAGAAAAGTTTTCAAGATTGACCCATCTGCTGTAACCTTACGCGTAGTTCGAGCCATAAATTTGGGGGATCGATACAAATTAAAAATTGGGCTATCTTGAACTTCGCTTCGTGACTGCGGCTCGCGTTACAGAAACTCGTCACTGGGCTCCTGGCATTGCGTTAAGAGCGCCGAGAAAGAAAGTGTGTAACAATTTCAGCTATCTCTCATTCCATCAGCGGAAACGTAAGAATTAGGTCGCGAAGGGGAGCAAAATAGCGGGACAACCCCGTCCAAGGGTCAGACGTGACCGGGATCGTTCTCCCCGTTGGAGTAACTTAACAATTGTAATTTCAGATGCGTGGTTCGAACATTATCGCGTCCCCGAAACGCGCCTCCGTAATCGTTTTCATGTAAAAGTGCTCATAAAATATTCCGCGGTACATTTTTCATCCCCTTGCCACCGCACGCGATCCGTGAGCGAAAATTAAAACTTACCGACGAGCACGACGCTTCGTGCCGTCACTAATAACGCTAACTTATTCCCTAAAACCGTCGTTAAAGCGTTGGTTCGTCCATGCGTGTTACATCGATGGGAAACCCTGTCGCTCGTTCACCTTAAGAGCCACCCTTGTTCTCGTCGAGGGAGACGTTCTCCACGCGCGTTCCTCCTGGTACGTACACACCTTGTGCCTGTCCGCATTCCTTTCACGAGGTATACAGAGATAAGATGGAGTTCGTGTGTCGAATATATATTTAAATATTAAGAAAAAAGTTTTCAGGCACGCAAGTTGGGCAGGGGAGCAGCTCGCAGCGAGTGGAAGAGGACGCTCGTATCCGTGAGTCCCTCCCTTTTTTCCACGCGGGCCCTCGGGAATCTCTGCGAAACTTGGATCCATCCCCAAGTGCGAGAGATTCCATCTTTCGACGTCTGTGTGTGTGTGTGTGTGTGTGTTGGATTCTTTCTTGATCTTTAGTAGAAGACACAATCAATCGGGAAGAGGATTGGATCCGTTGTTTATGCTACTGCAAGACTTTCGTTTCGCCGCTCGGTTACGGAAGCAGGCGGCTAGTAAGATTGATCGTCGGTGGCTGCGAGACCCGATCCTCCGACTTTCGATGGTTGCGAATATTCGACGCGATCTCTACCACGATTCGTCTGGAGAACCGTTTGCCACGGATCACGCTACGCTCGTAATCCTCGAGTAGTAATTTTATACAATGCGGGCTATGCTTTCAACTATGTACAAATCAAATGTATCAACGAGGCTACACGAATACTCTGAATAATCAGTTACACGTAACGCGACCGTGGTGCCACGGGTCTTCGTTTGCTTGTATTTGACATAGGATAGAAAATCTGTGCTATCGAACTTATGTAACGCGTGGTAGCGAACGCGTTCGAGGGAGAAACGTGGAAAATTAATTTTCAAGTTTGACACGAGGGGGTTCGGAAGCGGCGCGAGTTCATCTTGGCCCAGCTCGGAGATATCGGTGTTGCCGATTCTCTCTAACCTCGCTTTTGTGCCTTTTTATTGATCGACATTAGCGAATATTGATGGTCGGGAATCTACATCCTCAGCTGGAAACCGATTTATCAACAACAAACGGAGTTATGAGGCCATTCGATCCAGGTACTGACCGAGGGCACCGTACATCTATTCTTTCACTTACATATTTCAACATCGCTGTAGAGCTGGGATTGTTTGAATCATATAATATTGTAATATAAAAGCAGTTCAAATAAAAATGAGATCAGAAACGGATCGATGGATTTGAAGAACCTGACGCGTAGTCGTTATTCGAACACCACGAACATATAGAAATTTGACCAGCGAACCACCGAAATATTAGCATATGGAAATACACAAGTGGTCCCAGCTCTCCTCTGGACAGTCTGCAAGAACGTTTTGGTATACGCTGAATATTCTCGCACCTCATTACTTCGGAATCCCTCGTGCAGACCTAGGCCCCAACGGAACCTCATCTTTATACAAAAGACAATAACCCTAAGGGTCATTACACCCGACGAGGTACCAATCTCGCAGCCAACTGGACGTTAAACTACCGTCCACTGAACCCCATAGGTCCAGAAGTACGGTCCACGATATCACGGCGCATCGATGGACCTGATAGAATTTCCTGTTCCCGAGAGAGAGAGAGCGAGAGAGAGAGAGAGAGAAAGATAGAGAGATAGAGAGAGAAAGAGAAAAGTAGAGAGAGAGAGAGAGTGGAGCTAATCGCGTGGGAGGGACTCGAAGATACGCGAGCGTCTAAAAGGGCCCATTGTCGGGCTCCTTAGTAAGAGTGCTGCGGCTGCAAAGACGAGACTCAGCTGTGTGGAGACTTGTCGGAGCCCTGACTGTTGCCCAGTCCCCCCATTCCGGACTGCGAGGTGAGTCTGGTGGCCGACTGCGAAGTCGTCGTGGTGGCCACCGTGGAGTGCGCCAGACTGTGGTGTTTGCCAGTCTCTGGCACCAGGTGAGGCGTACGGCTCGAGACTGGCGGCAGAACTGGACTGACTGGCCACGGGTGAAGGGACATGGTGCTGGGCGCGCTGGGCACGCTCCTCGAGTGCGGCAGCAGCGGCGAATTCGACATGCTGCCCAATGGATGGTGGGCGGACACGTTGCTGCCCGATATGCCCATCGACAGGCTGTTCCCGACGGAGACGCCGCCGACGCCGCCAGTCATCGCGACCGCCGTGTCCGGATGAAGGAAGTTTCGCCGCTGCTCCATTCGCTCGGCGTGCTGAGCGAGACACCTGGTCAGTACCTCCGGCAGTAGTTCCAGTTGACCCTGAAGGCCGGACAGTTTCTCTTCTAGGCCGAGCAGCCGGTCCTCCATGCCCACCAGACGCTCCTCCAAGGCGTCCTGACGCGTACTCATGTCCGAAACGATCTCGTAGACCGTGGTCTGCGTCTGTCGAGTGAACCATTCAGAATTAACCCTTTTTCCCATTGCGTGGAAAATCTGTTCGATGCTCGAGATCTCTAAAACCACAGGTTTCGCGAGCTTATAGTAGACGTATCGATTAGTTCGGTGAAAGAGTTCGTTCGCCATAGAGTCGAAAAGTTATCTCGATTTCGGGATGAATGGATCTTATGTTTTCCTTTTGAACTTTTATGAAATTGATTGGTCGACACTCGACCCCAATAAGCGTGGCTTTATCGAAACAATATGGTTCTTCGTCGAATCTTCGAGCCAGTGGCGAACGGCCTGCAAACGAAGGGTTTGTTCGCGTACACAAAGGGACAATCGATAGAAGCGCGATACGGACAATGTGTCGTCGACGAGACGAATGGGGAATTTAATCGAATTCTAAGTTACTTGGGTGCTGGTACCTTGGCCATGTCGGTGATGGTATTGGCGTTGTCCATTAATTTTCGCTGATCCATCTTCACTTTCCTGAGTCTGAAAGTTTGCATTACGGATGAGGATGTTAATTGCCATCGGTATACGTTGATTATGGGTGTCAATCACGTGTCTGGTATCGGACTTACGCGTATATCGCCAACAGAAATTTACGCTGGTGCGTTCGAACACGTCCCGGATTGACGCGTTTCACAATGCGGGTGTACTTGTAAATTAGCCACGTCTCGCGTAACACGTTCGCCGCGGCGTTTTTCAGCTGAAACAGAACATAGACGCCTCGATTATTCTCCACGTACTATTTTACCCTAGTGGTAATCATTTACAAAAGCACCTCGTTGATTATCACGACTTTAGGATACGTTGCAAAGAACCGAGTAACTTGTTGCTCGTGGTTTCTAAGACGTGCAGCTTTAAAGTATCGCAAGTATTTACGTGATTGGTCGAGTCTACGGCGAGGTGTTAATTTTTGTAAATAATTACGCTCTCGCTGAAGCATATACGGTCGATCGCGACTACTTCCTTCGTGTTGTGGCTCGTATCGAGTAATCGAGTCTCGCTAAATTAATCGTTGAAATTGATCCTTTTCTATCGGTGGCTTTGAAATAGAATTTTTCTAATTCTAATACTTGTCTAAGTATCTTACCTGTCCCTTCCCTCTACATCGCGTGTACAAACATTAAAAATGGAAATACTTACTGCGTTTATCCTTGAATTTATTAATTTGCAAAAAAGAACATTTCATTATTGACAATTAGAAAGTAGGACAAATATCTATGCGCTAAGAACTCATTTGAATAAAATGATTATAAAATCGTTAAACATTCTCCCCGTCCCCGAATAAATATTACATGTTTCGTCGTTTGTTTTCCCACGGTTCGTGCGATTTTCGGAGCTCCTGTAAAAGAATTCGACACGCTTAAATCGCAAAAAAATTCCAGGAAGCAATTCGATCCCAGGAACGCTAATAATTGGAAAATTGTCGGAACGGAGCGATTGGAAACGCGTTTTTCTCGATGAAAAGTGAGACCGCGAACACGAGTTATCGCGAAACCGATAGAGTCGCTGTCTTCTAACCGCACTCAAACCGAGCGCTGTTGCAGGGTGAGTCGCGTGACTTGCCCAGCTCTATTATTTTTGTTGCCAGTGATCCATCCAAATTTGTATATCGTGGTTGACACAGTTTGGTAGGATGTTTAAAATAACGTTTCACTTTTTAAGCATCGCGATATTCCCTATGACGATCGAATCTATGTAGCTTTGCTCGTTCGTCGTCCAGGCTTCTTCATGAAAATGCAAAAAGTAGAAAATCGATCTTTTGATCCGACATTACCGGACTGGCCACTCTGGATTCAGGCAAGTCGCGATCGCACAGTTTCCCCGACATCTCCTCGGTTGAGAGATTCGACAACGATCGCCTGGTTCGATGGACGGATCTGTTAGCTCGTTTGAGCTTCTTTCCCTCATTTTTCAAGTTTTTCACCCGCCGAATGAGGGTTGATGCAGGCTTTGTCTCGTGAGATGCGATTTCCTTGTTCGACGACCAACGGTTGACCCCAGTGAATCGATCGCGACACTCGGACCATCAAGATCGGGTAAAAATGACAATGACACATTAGACGACACGGTCGTCTAGAATCCAGCGCGGAAATACCAGGGGCGTCCCTCGTTGGAAACTCGACGGTAATTGATGTCGACCTTCCTCGTTGCGAATTGTCATTAGCGATTAGCTTTCCTAAGCGAATCCGAGACTTTTTAGAATACAAGGTAGAAACTGGGGCCGCTAGGTCGTTGTGAAAATCGAGTTCCTAGCGATCGGTACCGAGACGATATCGATGTATTAAACAACAATAATAATCGCTCATTTCGCATGATATTAGATATGATTTTGCACCGTGATTAATAGACTGCTGCGTTTACGCGTTCATGGCGTATGCCGATATGAAAAATATACACTAAATGTATGCAAAATGTATGCATTTATGCAAACTGAAGTACTGATATTACTGCATTAATCTATGAAATGTATTCTGTATACGTTTCACGCGTGTCTTCCGTATCAGCATACGCCGTAAAAGCATAAAATCTGCGGTCTAGTAATAAAATTACATAATAGCAGAGTCAGGAATTACAGTAGAGGAAATATAGTTGTGTCGAGGCCACCGTTTGGAATTTTTACATCGAGCCTAAGATTACTTGTCCAAACCTAAATCGTGCATCGCCGTTTCATTACCGATCAGCGAGGACAATAGTTGTTGACGTGAAACGACAAACTACAATTCTGTAGGAAAATTGCAAAAATGATTTGTTGCGAGTAATAAAGCGACCCCAATTTCCACCGATATTACGCGACATTCATGGACACGACAGGCTGAAAGCTTGCAACTGCTTGCTTGTTTCAAGCCCGACGGAATTAATGCGTTCATTTCCGCGACTTTCCAAGAACGTCGCGGGCAATTGAGCAGCGCTGGAACTTAATTGAACTTCGCTTGAAATGATTTATAGCGCTATTTCTTTGATGAGCTTTCCTCGAGCGTTGGTGACACACTTACAATCAGCGAAGCGTGTAACTCTCTGCGTTATTCTAACAATGAAGCGGACGGAGTCGTGTAAAATGATAACAGTGATGATATCAACATAGCTTTGCCATTGCGTATGTGTTTCGTTTCGTTTAGCGTTCGATTATATTTCTGAATGATGCTGATCGTGTCCTGATATCCATCTCTCGCGAGAAGCGTGATGAAGCTTTTCAACCATTCCAAATTCTGATTAGAATTTGAAACATTTTCCGTGGATGAATGTGTTCATCGATAATGGGGAAGTAGATGCGTATGAAAATTCTGATTTTCAAAAGCCAACGAGTCACATCACGAAGAAATCGTATTTGCGGAGATCGATCCGCATCGCTGTACTCATTTTTACCTCAACCTCGAACATGAGTGTTTCTCAGAGACATTGGGCACAAGAACAATAAACACATCGTGCTGGTCACGTGAAAATACAAAATTCGCGAGACTGTCCGTCAACCGTCGTTCACGTAACAACGAAGTAATGCGATCGGTCTGCATTAAAAAATACTATCGTGTTCCTTGAAGCCCTCTCCACGAAACGTGCGTTCCTTTCCAAGCGACGGACTTTATTTATTTGGCTAACAGTTTTCAACCAGAGAAATGTGACGAGAATCGATTAAAAAACAATAATGAACTTAATATAAAAATTAATCGCAAGCATTTACAATATTCTATCGTACTAATTTTCATCGAGAAAACTCTTACCAAGGTATAATAACAAATACAAACATGGTGATATTCAGAGATTGGATCAAATTTCATCTGAATAAAAAAGGCGTTGCAGCCTTTTGGAAACGCACATTTCGCAGAGGAAGGTTCAGGGAACAGGATGGTATTTTCTAAGTCAGGTCGACGTAACCGCGTCGCTTGTTACGTAATCGGCAGTTAAAGGACAGTCCACGAATAATATTGTCAAACACCACGGTCACAGGAGCGGTAGCAGAACACGTACGTATAGCTTAAGGGAAGAATCCTCGCAAGGATCTACGAGCGGCTGCGTCTTACCCTTTTCGTTAATTGCGTATCCATCATAAAGTTATGAACGTGCTTCTCCGCCCTTGTGAGCTCGAGCTTCCTGGAAACAACCGCCACCAGCAAGGCCGTGCATCCGGCGCCCTAAAAACACCGTGAAACGTACCTGTGAACTCGAGGCTATCCGATGTACATTTAATTACGAAACTAGCAGCCGCGCTAATTACGAACTAATTTAATAGAATCTTCCAAGTTCCCCGGTAGAACCGTCCGTAAACAAGAAATAGACTGGGTACGATACGTCGCCGTATTCGTGCGCAGTCTGTCGCGATAATCATTTCCTAATCTCTCTTGCGTTTCCATTCATTGATCGAATTCTCATTTAGCGATTGTTCGAACCCTCGAAATTTAAATTAAATTTTATACAAAAATGATAGATTTATCATTGCCGCTGTTTCGTTATTGATAGCAAATGGAAATTGCGTTTCTTTTAATGTACGTGATATTCGTAGTGAAAGTATGGCAAAATGATTATTGGTTAGTTCGAAATTAAAGCGAGGCGATACGATTGAAGTGATACGATTATTTAAAGGATTGAAAATTAAATTTTATTTATCGCAGAATGATCGCTTTATTACGCTGCAGCTGTTTCATTGATAGATGACGGGCCTTGCGTTGTATTAAACGATACGTGATATCGCTCGTGAAAAATATGGTTAGATAAAAATGCGTCGGTAGAAGCTTAAATGATCTGATATTGAAGAGGAGCTATTAATGTATTCCTACTCCAAATAAGCGAAGTCAATTACTTTATTCCTATATAAATCCTTCGTTGTTTTTGCATTTCCTTCATTAACGAAGGATGGCGAGTACCTTGTAACTTGTACTTTGAAAAAGTACCGATACACTCGTTAAACGAAATTAAAGTGGTTAGGTCGGGGTTAGGTATATAAAGTGATACCCTACAGCTCTCGGTGCACTTTCATTTCGAGCAACTAAAATCGATAATGATGATTTCGTTACATCTCCTATAGTTCACCCATTTTCAGAGAAATTTATGTTTCACTTTTTAAAAGTCCGAAGGTATTAGTCGAAGGTAATTAAAAGAATTAAAAGTGGACGCTACTGCATGCCGAATAGTTAGGTATCGAACGATATTATCTCAAATATTTCTCGTCGCTTGGCAAGCCTGAGAAAACGTGTACTTTTCTCAGTGCCTGATTTCCTCGATGATGATTCGATCAACCATTGCATTTCTACCCTTATCGTCGAGTTGATCCTCTTAGGGAAACCTTTTCAGCTCATTACAAGTACCGTTCTTTCATTTTCCACGTCGCAAATAACGAAGTTCCCCCTTTAACGGATTACTTTGCCTCAATTAGAGACAGATTTCTCCCTTCCCAGCCACCGACTAAAATCATATTCGTGCTGCGACGCTCGGTCTCCCAGCAGATGCATAATCCGCGTCTCTTAGAGGGAACCGCAGCCTCCAATGGAATGCAAACGCGACGACAACACCGATTCGCCAGCAGTATTCGCTTCTCCGGGCGATATCGCAACGAATTTCGAGGAAAATCGAATGGGATTTCGACGCAGAGTGATTCTTAGAAGGCAAACACTTCGGGACAAACAGTTTTTCCGTATCCGTTCGCAGTTTGTGCACGCAGACGATGCTCTTCGATCTGGATCGCAGTACACAGTCAGGAGAATATCCAACGACCTTTTACCGCTGAATCGATCAGCCGTAGTCTTTTTCATAATTTATTTAGTATCGTATAGATATCGTATAAACGTTGTATACATAGAATTGGCTACAAAAAACTAAAGCCTTAACATAGTAGGCAATGTTTCTGTGTGCGTACACTTAGGTCTCGTTATGATGATATTTCTAGTAGCATCGCATGCGCTAGCTTGGTCTGTAACAGTCAGTCTGAAAAGTGTATTTTCAGTTGATCGAGACGGGTTCATACATGTCTACAATTCTAAGGTATTCTACACATCTAGGGGTCGCTAAAAGGCATGCATCGATTTTACGTCGAGTATTCACAGCGATTTCGAGCTAGGTGGATGCGTAAAATTATGTAAATAAAAATCCGCGGTGACGGTATTCTCGTATTTAGAGGATTCCAGATGTCACGAACAATTTCTATTCGATTACGATAGGAAACGAAAATTCTCTATTCTCTAAGCTGATCAGTCGCTTCGTAAGAATCACCCTGCGCAGGGATGCGAACACTGGCACGACGTAAGCTCTTTTTGAAGACTTCCGGCCGGAATTTCACAGAAAATCGACCAAGACCGCGACTAAATTAGATTACGATCCACGACTGCGAGGCCCAAATCGACGAATTAGCATAGAACCGGAAGTGCAATAACAATAAGGATTCAGCGTATTCCCAACGGGACGATTAGACTCGCTGTGTAACGTTTATCGTGACGAAGTGTCGCTCCAAGTGCATCGTAACTACCACTTGGCGCAATGCTGTGGTCGATAGTCCTTAGCTTCGACGTGCATCGTGCATAAAATGTGCTGAATTCTCTCTTGCTCGAACTGTTTTAGGTTCCCATAAATTCGAACACGAACCAGCTCGATTAAACAAATACATATTTACAGAAGGGAGGTCTCCGAATTAAACTTCGGGGAAGTCCGGCGTTGATGCATTCTACTCATTTTTTCGAGTTCCAGGTTCTACTCTATTTAAAAAAAAAAAAAAAAAAAAAAAAAAAAAAAAAAAAAAAAAAAAAAAACGAAATAAATATTTTGCCCAGGATAAATTGAGAACAGACAATTACGTGAAAGCACATATCCAAACAGCTATGTCTGTCGACATCGTGTGAAACATTGGCAATTCGTTCGTTTAATATTTCTTTAATGTTTGTCGAGTACGATATCGATTCTCATGCACATTCCAGGATTTTTAATCTATTCCATCTAACGTATTGTATTTAAAAACTGAAAATAAATTTCTCATATTGGGCGAATCAAGATGTACAAAAAATTCTGTAAAAGCACACAACATCGATACATTTGATAACCACATATATATATATTTAATTCTCGTTCGCTGTAATATTGAATTCGACGTAAGTTCAAGTATTTGACCGACTAACCCGTTTCGTTTAATCTGTTCAATAAGTGAAACCAGTATCTTCCAGAGGGTAAATTAAAATGTAGGAAAAAGTAATGGGGCAAGCTTTATGAGAATGGTCAAATGAGCCGTTCATTACACAAATCGATCAACTCCACAAAACAAAAAATTCAGAAATCCAACGAAACAATGTGCATTGTTTTTTAAAATTCTCTTTATAATATGAACTCAAATAAATATCGCAGAACGCATAAATGTAGATGTAGCTTACAATTTTTATGTAAATGGGGGAGTTGATCGATTTATACAGCGAACGGCTCAAATAATAATGTGTGTTGATTATCAACGCTTCTTGTAAACAAATGGTCTCAATAGCAGCAAGCAGGAGGTGCGCACAAATTTCGCGGGAATGGCCGTGTTAAACTTTGCGTCTTGTCTTACCATTAATCCAGTTGAAACGGCTATACCTCGACCGCAGTACGTGTTGGGTACGATGTCACCGAAACCGACGCTCAGAAACGTGATGGAAATGAGCCACATGGCATTAAGGAGATTCGCGTGCTCCTCGTCGTGGAACCTAGCGACACAGGAGAGAAAACAGAGTGAGACATTAGAGGATGTTCGTGCGAGCGCTACTGGAAATAATCGTGCATCCTCTCTGCTAATTGTGACATCCTGCAACAAGAAGCAGGTCAGTTTCTTCGCGATCTCGGGTCTGATCCACTGTCATTAAAAAAAACTACGAGCGAAGCGTGTTCAAGGTTCTTAGCCACCCGCTTAATTACCCCGTTCGTTTCGCCAAGTTTCTTCCGAGTTTCTTTTTTAGCGAGTAGCTTTTTTTAATATCAGAATAATTACTTTCGAAACTTTACGAAGACGCTGGATTACTTTCAAAATACATAAATTAGAGTTATGGTGTACGCTTCGAAGCTTTCAGTTGTCTGTAAATATTTATAAGATTGTCGGTCGTGAAAAGATTCCAAACTTCCTTTTTGAATTCGTTACTCTAACACGGTTGAAGTCATTTAACGATGCGAATAGATGTTCTGAATTATACATTCGAGGAGTCAGCAGTCCAACAAAGCAAGATCGTAAGAAATTTCATGCTACTGGCGTAAACCTCCGGCTGTGTAAACCCCGACGAACGCCCTTGCAACAAACGAATACGCACAAACGCGCAAACGCTTTAATAACATCAGCTCGAGGGTGGATTAAATTTGCAACCCTCGAACCCTGAGTTCTTCCTCGAATCGTCCCGGCCAATCTCGTCGGATCGTCTCATCCGAAACGGCGTTATAAATTCCCAAGATTTTCATCCAGATCGCGAAATCAGGAAGTTCTTCCCCAGAGCTGGAAACTTCCGGAAACGAGGAAAGGGAGTCGAGCGGTGGAAGCTGGCCCGACAATACAGCTTCGATAACTGATTGAAGATTCAACGGGTTCTTTTATCCAGCCGATTGAACGGAACTTCCTAGTCGACGTCTCATTTAACCCTCGAAAGGTCGACGCTTTGCCAGCGATCAAGTAAACGAATTTAGGATCACTTCGACTTGCAGACAAAATTCCGTTCCAACCGTCACAATACTTATTATAGATATCACATTGAAAGTTGAGTTAAGAGATCTACTATCTGGATTCACGGAGCCAATCTTCAAAATTATGAACTCGTCTCAAAAGAACCGAGTGCCAAAAATCACGTCCATCGTTTATTAAGAGTTGGACGCAGACACGAATTCTCCTTGTGGTTCCTACGAGTGAGAACTTTTCGACCCGTGAAGGAAGAACGCGGAAATGGTTCCAGGTCGAAATGACCTCCTCGATGGAGGGTTAAGATTGGAAGATCGGAATGCGTCCATTCGTTGCGGAAGGTGAAAAAGAAACAGAGGTTTTATCGTGGCTTAGAACGGCGGAGGAAAGAATCTCGATGATCCGTGATTACTAGCGCGAAAGAGCAGCGAACTCTTGTATTGGCTCGCAAGATCGATCGTCCTTAGGCCCTCAGCGATTCCCTAAATCGGCCGTGCTATTTGCGGGAGAATTTAATTATACGCGGTCCAGCAATCCCGGCCCCGTAGTAAATCCTCTATCGCCGTATTAACAGCGAGTCTCCGATCGTCCGATATTCGCTCGGGGAAGATTTATGCCTTTGTTCTGGGAACATTTGCTTCCTGGCACTGCTAATACTAACGACGAGACTGACAAGAAAGTCATTAATAAAAGGCGTTGGATTCGATTCGTGCACAAGGCTTATTTAAATTCCAATATGAAAATAAAATATTATAGTTGATTAGAGTATTTATGATTGGGTTCCGATCGTGACATTTTCTGGCGTAGATAGAATATATGCTATCCCTTGTCTGTCCGTTTTCAAATTAATCATTTCCATGCGTTACGTCACTTTCATTCCATTCACTTCATCACACGCGATAAAATCATATGTCACGAACGTCACACACAGGATATCCGAATAGAGGAAGACCTCCTTAACATGTTTGGCATTATTAATTCAGTATCAGAGAAGCCGTGCTACTCGAACGAACTATTCGATGATATATTTAAGGACGAGTTGCTGCCACTTAAGCTGCTCCCGGAAAATGGAACATCCTGTACACAGCGTTCACTGTTCTTTCGTTTCGCTGAAACGTCTACCACAGACTCGTAGATCAGTTTCTCTTTAAAATGAAGTTGCCTGTAAGTATTCTTCACTTTCGATTCGAAACGACCTAGTTTAACTCACAAAGGAAACAGGACAATGGAAAGGTTAAAAATAAACCAAGTATCCATCGAATAACAGCCACTCGCTCAACTTTCGCCATCCGATTCCAATGGGAATTGGTTCTTTAAGAACTAAAGATACCCACGTCCACGCATTTGTCATTGGTGCAAAAGATATAGGATATTCGAATGTTATACGAAGCGATATAGACTCCGCTACCGCGTAGTTTGTTTCCCGATATACAAAGTTCTATATCTGTTAGGTCTTTTACCTGTAGTAGCAATAAAGGCCCAAGGAACATACAACACCAAAGAATGATCAAACGTCTATTCCATGATTTCTTACCTCTCGCACTGACGCAACGTCCAAGAGGCGATGATCCATAACGAGACCATGAAGACGAGCAACACGGTGCCCGGGCAGATGGTCATCAGGGTCTTCAGGACGAACCTAGTGTTGAAGTTAATACGATTCAAGGCCCCTATGCTGCGCGACGAGGCGTCGGTGAAGAGCTTCGAGTGCAGCAGCATCACGCGACAGATGAGGTAGAGTCTGAAGAACATCGGCAGCGAGAGGGTGACGTCGTACGGCACCCATATGGAGCCAAAGTCGCCGCCCTTGTTCGCCAGCTTGGTCGTCCATAGGAAGTAGTGCTCCCCTGGGATCGGGTGGATCGCGCAGATTACCAATTCGATCGTAATCTGCCCGATCCTCTGCCAGGTCATCGCGATCCGCCAATCGTCTGCGCAGTTATCGATCATGAACAACTGTCGGCAGAAACAATAATTCGTTACTCGTTATTCGTCGACCGCTACGTTGTATTTTGTGTCGGAGGACGTACAGTAATTCGATAGCATTTAATCGAAATATTTAAACGAAGAAAAATTTCATTCGCTGTGATGGAATTGACGGGGCAAAGTGTGTATACTAGCTTATAATTGGAGGCGTTCTATTTACTTTTGGCATTACCGTCGATGTTTTCGTGAAAATGATAACGGTGCCGGTTAAACAAACTGAAAGTGCGTTTAATTTTGAACTTAATCGTTAAATATATATTTATGAACCGAGGTTTCATGGTATTCGGAGGTTTGTTGAAATTTATTAAATAATTTATTCCAGTCCGTGAATCTCTCTTAATAGAGAATGAGATTGCGTTGCATTGAATTAAGTCGATTATCGAATGTTACCGAATAACGGTGTAGAAATCACGGTAACAATGTTACGGGCAGCGTATGAATAATTATCGATTCACTCGGTTCAATGTTAACAGGAATTTCAGTTATATAATTTCTGTTTATCGTTGCATACCGTTGAAACGAAAGACTAGAATATACCTTACTAAAGCAACGCAGAGGTGCATTAAATTGAATACCAAGTCTGTAGTAGAATGTATCTTCTTACGAGTGGGACAAGCGATAAGAAATAGTGTCCACATGCAAAAATAAATGCGAAATATGGAATAAAATTTCTTTGTACAAGGCTTCGTTTTCGAGAAAATAGATTTCGAAGTAGCTTAGGGCGCGCATTCGGGTTCTACTCCGATTTTGTTCAACGTTTCTTGTTATAGATGTGCTCGTTACAAAATAAAATTGTAATTAGGTTCAAATTTTTATTAAAATACTTGAGATACGTTAAGCTAAACATTCCGATAGTCCTTTAACAATGTTTTTGGTATCACAGCAATTTCGTCTGGCTGGTTCGACAAAGATTCTGTTTAGCTGTATCTCACAAAGAACCTCTACTCCATGGTATTATTTGTTACCGATATTTTTCCCGCGTCGCTGAAGGTGAGATCCGGCGGCTTTGAATAGGATTATCATAATACACCAGTGGCGCGCCACTCTTGCGAAAATGCGTGGCTGGCGTAGATAAGTTGCATTATTTATACGCTGTCGCGCTGCCATCGTTTCTCAAGCTTTCGTTTCTCTATCGCAAGTTCATGGTGACGTTACATCTTCTTTTACTCTCGTGAACACCATCCGATGGCGTTGCTACTTTAAATATTCATCCATTATTTCAGATACAGTTTCGAAATACTGCTCATTGTTCAAGAGATATTTTGGGGCGAAGAATGAATTATATACAGTCTGAACCAAAGAACATTTTTCATGCAAATAAGCTTACCTCTGTCGTATATCTTACGAAAGCCTATCGGAATATAATTTTATAATATAAAGACGAAATCGTTCTAGACAAAAAAAAAAAAAAAAGAAGTAACCCGACATAGTTCACGAATCATCCACGCGAACGGAATAGGAAAACGTCAATCGTTATCCAATAACAAAATCAATTTCGACACCCATGAATGGGATCCTTGAAAAGCTTTTAAACAAAAAACGGGACTCGTGTTGCTACGGTATACAGCGGGAAGCACTGCGGCGTGCAGTTAAAAAGCTCCTGTAACGTTCAGCGAAATCGGAGACCGGGCGACAAAGCCGTACCGCGTTAACAAAGAGACCAGAGTCCGCTTCTACAATAAATTCGAAAGGGCGCGGACGGATGGGACGATACCTCGTAAAGTCGCGAAAGTATCGCGACTCGTGTGTTTTACGAGAGATAATTCGTTGGATGGAGCACACACCGCGAAATCCTGAGATAGCAGCCGCGGTTTATAGTCCCTTCTGCACCGTATCAATAAAACGAATTGCAGCAGCCTCGAAGAGATCCTAAAGGACTCGCTAAGGTGTCGGAAGTCGAGTCCGTATTTCTTCGCTTCTTCGCGACTCGATTCCACCCATGGCGCGTTCTGCATTTTACAGTACGCTTCGCGATTCGCCTTTGCTCTCTACTTGCTATCGTCACGGAGAAACACTATAACCTTTCGTCATTTTGTAGAATTTTCAACGCAGTTATTATTAACAGCGTCGTCCATACTTTATTTTTCTTACATTCCCTTTGTCCACTGAAACGAGTAATTAACCATGGTTTTATTTTGTAAAGTGCACGGTAACATGACAGTTATGACTTGGTCAACTGTGGAGCTGTGGACCTCGAGTTCGTTAACCATACCGGGATTATCTGGGCTGAGCCAGTAAAAGGCAGGAAGTTCAAACTGGAGATGAACATTTTCATGTTCTCCAAACAGCATGGCGGAATATAGCGAATGATTTCATGAAAAGATTACTTGGAAATACCCTTAGAGAAATTGCAGCCACTCCGAGAGCGAAAGTAGGCCACATTAAATATTGATTTTAATGAAAATTAATTGAATCTCTCACGAGACAGGTAACAGTTCTTGGATCAACTAACAAAATATTAGCGGACGGTTGGTGGTTTAAAGATTCCAGAACAATTCCAGTAAATCAACATTTACACCGTAAATGTAGCCTACCTGCGACAACGTAAAAGTCATCCTTATTCGAATGAAATACAAGTTACTCGAGTCTCGAGTGAGTGCAAGAAGTTACATTAATTATCCCTCGATCAGCCGTGTACTCGCGTCGATTAATCTTCTGTCAGGCTTCCTTGTTTCATTATCATTCTTCGCTTCTTAATTTATCTACTCTTCCGATGATTCTCCACAACGTATCTCAATCAGTCAGTGAATACTTTTCATTTAGATTTATATTCAAAAATTCTGCCTATTCGATCGAATTTGAAAAGTGTTTGATCGTTCAGGAAACGCTCGATAAGCCCCATCGACGAGTTAATTTCACTCGAGCGAAGTACTTCAAGGGCAAATAGTGTCCCGACACTCTATTAGAATAGTTAAACTTTTTCGCGGGGTTGGATACGCGCGGCAATTCGCTAATAACGAGGGGAAACTCGGCCAGGGTGGCGGGAACGTTCCGTGGAATCGAAAATCAATAAATCCGCCGCGACAGAGCGCGGAACAACCATGCATCACGCTCTGGACTCTGCCGGAGCTGGGATTTCTGCGTCGATCAACACGCTGATCGTTCCCTCGAGGACAACCCTTTCGTTTCGACGTGCAGTCAGGTGAGCTTGGCGAATCTGCGCATGCAAATCGTTGATAAACGACAATCAACAGGTGCTGAAAGGTCAACGGGCTATTAGGCTCGAATCCAAGCATTGTTATTGCGAGACCTGCACTCGCTGGTCCCCTACTCGCATTCGTTAACGAGAGATCTGTGAACCTTCCGTTCCTTTAAAGCCGATCACGGCTGCTGGAGAGCGTTCGAAGCAGCAACTCGATTAGGGTGGGCAAAGCGACTGGAAGATCTTACTGCGACACTTACTCATCGTCGCAACACGATAGAGCGACGACTTCATTCCGATCGTTCCTCGCGCAATCCCCGAAAACTGTCCAAGTTATTATACTGTCATCCGGGAAAGCGCTCCCGATGCAGACGCGCGCGGTGCCATGTGAAATCGAGAGATATTCTCCCATGACACACGCCGTGTCACGAGCCTTCGGCGTCATCTCGAATTTCCAACGAAAATATCGGGAGACAGGCTGATATCGGAATGAAATCGAGTGGGAACCGGGGGTGCTATCGTTTTTTCAATACGGTGAACGTCGAGGTCGTTACGTCCATGACAACGGGTGCTCGGGGAGCTACGTTAACGGCGATAACATTTGCTCTCGTACTTCTCGCGAACGAGGATAATGCCTCCTTTGTTGCGCCAGGGAAACGAGACCTTCGAGAGCATGATGAGCGCCGTGGCCATCATGCTCATTTTCGGCATCTAGATCAGATCTGCGATCAAGATACACGGCAGGGCTTGAAACGGGTTATATATTATTCGCTTTTATACTCAACGTTAACGGAGAAGCCTTCAGATTTAATTTATACGTGACCTTAAATAAAGTGATTAAAAAGAAAAAAAAAAATTTACTGTAAAAACATCGTTTCTTTTACGTCAGAGATCTCGGTAAAATTACTTTGATAAATCGATCGAGTCGTTCCTCGTAACAACACGCATCAATTTTAATTTTCTCTACACCCCGGGGACTGTCTCCGTTTCATGGCAGAAAAATCGAAACCCCCCTCCCCCCCCCCCCTCTTTAAACAGACTTTTGCATCCGCATGTCCAATCTCGCGTTTCCAATTAACTGCGAATGCAAACGAAGTCAAGGACGGTTGCATCCCTGGTGGACGACTTCTTTGATGTTAGCCGCCCTGCGCCGGACAGCAAACACGTTCGAGGGAAAGGAAAACGTTCGCTCCCCCCCCACCGAAAGTAATCCTCGAAATTGGAACTTTCGAGAATTACAGCGCGACCTCGGCCGGACCCTTTTATGAATTTACACTGTTTCCGGATAACCTGGCCCGTTTATACGTCGACCGCGAGCAAATCGGCTTTAGCGCGCGCGTTTCGTCGACATAACGCCGCCTTTCGTCGTGGATTACGGCTGTAGATCTAAACGCCCGCGAAGCATTACGCTTAATTAAGCGGGGAATGCTTAGCCATGATACTGTAAAGGCAGTCGCGGCGAGACGATTTCGTGCGGTCGCTGTTATTTAAGCGACGCGAAGAGGTCTTTGGAGAGACGCACGACGAGGTGGTTGCTTTTCTGTGGTCTCTTTTGACGGTGCATGCACGTTTGCGGGGAACATCTTACGAAACGTTTATTACGACGTTCGGAACATCGAGTGGATAAATATCATTATCTAAGTGAATGTGAATTGCAAGACCTTTCGAATATGTCATTCGGTTCTGGTATTTCGGAAGCAAAAGTATTAGAGAAATTTGAACGTTGGGAAGATGGAGGCAAATTACGTTCCAGTATTTCGTTTTCCTTCGGACATGGTTTCGATAACGGGAACACGATTTCTTTTTTTGACACGTGATCGACATTTCC